ACTAAATTTGTTAAGAGTAAGAATCTTTCCCTGTTGTACCTATTAGAATATGCCTAGTTTTCTCATGGATTGTCAAAGAACAAAAAAACAAACAAAAAACACCCTTTCTCCCAAGGGTGCTTATATCTTTTTTTTTTTTTTGAGATGACAATTACTACCATACCATTAGTAATCAATAAACATTTTATAGTTACCAAAATAGCTAACATTAGAAATCCACAAGGATTTAGAATGGCGTTACTAAGAAACCTGAACATGTAAAAATCAGATAATTCTATAAACAACAGAACATGAACACCAGTTTTATTCATTGAGAATATATTATATTTTGAAAAAAATCTATGGCATAAACATAACTATAAATGAACACTGCTATTCTCAGCACTTTCTGCCTAGAAAATTCAGTATACTATATGAAAACATCATTAAATAAAAGCATGTAACTTATTTATGTGCAACATGATTTTTTTAATGCCAAGGTTAAAAGGAAGAAGGCACCAGCAATATTAAAAAACACAAAGAAACAAGGTAGAAATATTGCAAGATTATCATAATCCAGTTTGCCAGAGAAAATATTTAAGATAAAATTGAAAATAAAATAAACATAGGTTATGATATAGCCAAATCATTGTGAAATGTATCAAATTGGCTGGCTGTACATTACCGAGGTCACAGAAAATTACTTTAAAATGTTTCCCCACAAATTAGCATATATAAACACGGTTCGCTATGGTTTCCAATATGCTATCCAAAAACAGTGCTGCTCCCTACGGAAGCCTGGTACCAATCCAAGGCAGATGAAATAGATGGAGCCAGCATGGCAGTGTTTGACAGACACTAATAAAAAAGACCAGTGACATCCTATGGACTTGTAATATTCCATTTTATTAAAAGCAGCAGAGCACAAAGGTTAAAAGCTGAGCACTAGAGTTAGATCTGTGTTCAAATCCTAGTCCCACCACTCGAGGCTGTGTGATCTCTGGGAACCACTTAATCTCCCCAAAACTCAGTTCCAAGACAGTTGCACTCCATCAAAGTGCTGTGCAAAAACAGGATGCAGGCAAACTACAGAGCCATTCCTGGAACACTCTGCATTCAATACATGACAATTACTTTTTTTAAAGTTAACAGTTTAAAATTATCAATTTAGTTGAAAAAAATATATATATATTTTAATGAGTAGCTTAAAATAAACAGTTTAGTGGAAAATATTTACTTGGTACCATGGTATTACAGGGAAGTCAGGTTTTATTGCTTAAAGAAATCTCAAAGGAATGAACATGGACAGAGGATAGACATTCTAAAATATACAAATAACTTACATTTCATCAGGGCTGATTTCAATACTTTGCAGACTTAATGGTTTTCCTCCTGTGGCTTTCTGAAAATATGTCAACATTCTTATCAACATGTTCCTAATCTTTTTCTTTAGATTTTAGAAACTGGAAAAGCTCAGACATGTAAAGATACAAGTAACACACTTGCCTGAGATTAAGAAAAATGGCAATGATTAGGTAATTATTTTTTATTACCTATTTCTTATAAAATTTTTATTTCCTATTTCTTATAAATTTTCTTATAGAAAAATGTGTTTGAAAAAGGTAAAATTCAATGGCACAAGGCTGAAATGTGTACAATTTTCTCAGAGATAGATATCAAACTTGGATTAGTTTTGATGGCTGATAGCTAAGGTGACTCTAAATGCAAAACTCAAAGCCAATGACTTGAATTTCATAAAAAGTAACACCACTATACTACTATTCTACTTCTTCCCCACAACAAATGACAAAAATATAAAACTGTAGGCAAGTTTAAAGTCACTCACAATTGTCTATTTTAAAATTAAAAATATCTTCACACTCAAGAACATCAAGATATATATTTTTTCACCTTTAATTTTAGACTCAACTACTTTTCCAAGCAAAATATAAAACATTAAATTACATCATTTTACACTCAAAATAGTACTGACAATGTTACAGCAAGAGAGTGATTTAAAAATCCAATTCAGCCCAGCCAGTGTGGTTCAGTGGTTGAGCATCAACCTATGAACCAGGAAGTCTCGATTCCATTCCCTGTCAGGGCACATGCCTAGGTTTCGGGATCAATCCCCAGTAGGGGGCATGCAGGAGACAGGAGACAGCTGATCAAGTTATGTTCTCATCACTGCTGCTTCTTTCTTCCTCCCTCTCTCTCCCCCCCCCCTCTCTCTCTCCCTCTCTCTCCTTCCTCTCGGAAATAAATTTTAAGAATATTTTTTAGAACTCCAATTCACCTTGTATCTCAATAGGATAGTGTTTTCCAAATTGCAATTTTGAAAGTCAAGTTGTGGATCCTGACAAAAATTAATAATTAAATATCACATGCATACTGAGTAATAAGGGTGTTGTTTGATAAACTTTTGTTTGTAGGAGGTGTGTATATACTGTATCATAAAGCAAAATATTTTTACTGTGAGTTGCTGTGGGAGAAAAAAGATTCAGTCACTACTCTAAGACCGACTAAATTTTGTCTCCTAGAGCCCCCTACAGGCTCAATATGTTAAAAACTTGAATCCTACAGTAAATCTTTTGTTCGAGGGGTAGTTCAGAATCTATAATTCAGTAGTTTATACAGGAACAGGTGTTTACACAGATAAATAGGAAGTGTTTGGTCTAAGAACTCACCCTTGAGGCCAAATCATCCTCCAGAAACAGGAATAATTGGGCAAGGTCTATATTAGCCCTTATTCTCTCATTTAATTTAAAACTGGGAGAAATATAACAATATTTTACACTAAGAGCTGTCTGGGGGAAATAAGAAAAGATGGAATAACAAGAACTTTAGGAAACTGCTAACAAGACATTCCCTTTTATAAGGTTTTTACAAAGCAATACTGAGAATAGAAAAAGGCCTAGGCAACTAAAAAGACTTTTTTTCCACACCTGGACTCCCTGACAAATAATTAAGAATAATTTTGAGCAATCAAATACTAAACCAGTACCTCTATATAAAAAATAACTATTACTTTAAATTACAAATGGACCACTATATCAAAATTAAAGAACTCTATGAAGTGGTTAGAAAACTGAAGGGATGTAGGAAATAGAGGCTTATTTTCACGGAAAACAAGCTAACAAGCTCTTGCTCCTCTTTCACAGAAAGATAATAAATAAAAAGAAAAGGTACCAGCCACGTTTATCATGCTTAATGACCACCTCCACATACAAAAAAGGAGAGAAAAATGTTTGCAGGAGCCCAAGAATAGACTCAAACTGCAATTATCTTGCAAACAGACATTAAACACTATTCTAACCTTAATTTCACCTACGTATATCAAGTTACCCATCTCAGAATGCTGGGATGGTTTAGTTAACCTAAGATTGATCAAAGAACCAGTTAAGAGACCAAATGGTAGATGACCCTATAGAAAGATCACTTGGCAATAAAATCAATTTAGCATAAATGAAGGTGATTCACAGCACATGCAATAGCAGTTAATAGCCTTGTATTTTGAGTCAATGCTCCCTGGCTCCTCAAATAGGTCTGACACTAAAATGACACAAGATATGCAGGTCTGTCCTTGTTTAAAGCAAGCCTATCATCTCAAACATTTCAAGTGTTGACATAAATGTTCATACCTTCTGTTTATGGTAACAAAATTACTATTAGATACAGACTAGATACTACACTGGGACTCGTGATTCAAAATTTATCCTTGCTTTAGGATAATTTACATCTAAGACACTAAAAGAAATAATATAAAACCAGTTAATTTTTAATGAGAGGTCCATGTTAGTAAAATATTTGACTTAATATTAAACAGATGTAACTATTTTCAGAATTATGCTTATTCCCACTAAAATTCCCAGAACTAATGTTTATTATAAACATGTAGGGTGTCACCCAAAAATGTATCTCACTTTAAATAACTATTAAGGCAGTGTTAATCAAAATACATTTCATTTTCAAAATTGCGCTATCAGCTGTTAAAGTGTATATACATTTTTGGGGGGCACCCGGTATAAATGAGGATAAATTCTCATCTATTCAAAACAAATGATCATAAAGCTTATTTGCCATTTACCAAATTCATAAAATACAGATTAAATTTATTAAAAAGACTGAAAATGAAATTTACTCCCATTCTTTAGTAATTTCCTGTATAGATTGAAAGAATGACTCTTCTTAGACAATGAATAATCATTTCAAAGGGAATTTTGTTAAGAAATTTTTCAAATGAAAAACATGAGCCCAAATCACATACTTTCCTTTCTCATCACCTCCCACCGAGTCCTTAGAATGTAAGATCACTTCTTGTTATTCTTTACTATTAGAGATCACAATTAAAAGTCATCTCTTCAAGGTGTTTTTCCCCATATTTCTATTCCACTAAAGAAAAATGTCCTTTCAGGCGGCTGGCATGGCTCAGTGGTTGAGCACTGATCTAGGAACCAGGAGATCATGGTTCAATTCCCAGTCAGGGCACATGCTTCTTGGGTTGCGGGCTCAATCCCCAGTGTGCAGTGTGCAGACAGCAGCCAATCAATGATTCTCTCTCATCATTGATGTTTTTATCTCTCTCTCCCTCTTCCTCTCTCCCTGGAATAAATAAAAATATATTTTAGCAAAAAGGGGGGGAAATGATCCTTCCTATTGTTGGCAGGCACACTGAATATCAAGGTAACATTAAAATAATTGCTTTTATAAAATTGTTTGTGCTTTTTATCAGGGATACCAAGACCCATCATGAACAAAGAAATATGGCTATCAAAGCTAACTAATAATACTTTAATCCCCTTCTTTTTAATTTCCAAGACACCCTGTTGAGGGAGTTATTCTACTGAATATTTTACAGCCAGTGGTTTCAATACCCAATTTCATCGAGTAGCATTCTCTCATGTACATGAACCCAACATAAGACACACATACATACCCACTACTCACTCATGGTCACACACAAGCAAGCATACACACACATTTTCTTTCTTTCTTTCCAGAACAAGCCAGAATTACAGCTCTTTTGGTGATTGTTATAATTTTTGGAATGGTTCATAAATTTTCCAAATTCTTTTAAATTCATAATACTTTTATCTTTTTTCTTTTTTCTTTTTTTTCCGATTGTGAACCATTCCATATTGCATCTTTATTGCAAAAGTCAACATGCTTCTTAGAAATTCAGATTGTAATTGATAAAACAAACATTACATATATGAATTTAAATGTATAAACAGTTAGAAATTCAACAATATCTCCTATTATACTATTACACAAGTTCACAATTTTGTAAAAACTATAATACAGGCGTACTATACATAGGAAGAACCACTATTCCTTTTCACATGATTTTTTTCTTCTTTTCGAAATAATGATCCATCAATAGGACCTTTGTTTCATCATAACAAGACCGTTTTTCAATTTATCATCAATGCTTTCCCACATGAAGAAATGCAAAGAAATTCTGCGTTCCCTGGGTTTACCTTTTTAAACTTGGGCAGCAATCCACTAGTGAACCAGGCTGACCTAGGCAGATTGGTCATTAGCTACTTAGAAACTTAGAAAGTTGTCACACTCATTAAAAAGAATACAGCTTGCCTCAGATGGTATATGTTATATCTGTAACTGAAGATACCAAGAAAACAAGTTATGGTACTTCCTTTTAAAATAAATTCTAATAGTTGGGGATAAAAAAAAAATCCTAAAGGAAAAAATACATATTCAACTATTTTATGTTACCATTAACTTAAATGTTCTAATATTATATTTAACTCATTATTTTGAATTCATTTTTGAGAATCAAAAATGTTTTAGAATTCTTAGAACATTTAAAAAGTATTTTAGTCTTATATAAGGTGCATTGAAAAATCAGTTTTATACAAAGGATCTTACTGGAAAGAGTCTGTCTATTCTTCACTTTAACACTCTTCTCTTTCACCCCCCTCTCTCCCAACAACTAAAAAGGCAAACAAATCTCCCTGTACAGAGTGTAATAAGATGTCAATTTTGAGGTTAAAAAAAAAAAAAACCATATGAAAAGGAATCTCATTCTGTTGAACTGTCAGTCTACTGAAAATTTTCTTACAGCTCCATTAATTTACTGTAATTTTCAGTTTCCAAATACAAAAATACAACAATTCTTATTGAAATCTATACGCTGGTAGTTTTAGTTCACAAAAAAACAAAAACAAATTATTTACAAAATTATACAGTTTAAGAAAAAACTTTGTACAAAAAATATATAAATCCTTTGTTCCCTCTATCACGCTTAAACTGTCAGGACTCAAAATATTCACCACAATGAATCTTTCAAAATATATACCGACTGAGCCACAGACATCAAGAAAATTTCATTAGAGATGATGGAGGGAGGAGCAAGATTGCTTATTCTAGGTACCCCACTGTAACATTTTCATCTTTGTATAAGCTTATTTTAGTTTCAGTGTTATCAGAAATATAACAACCACCTAGGAAGAGGAAGTCCTTATTATTGCAAAGGGGAAGTTACAATGAACATAAAAATGATCCTGGTTTGACACATCATTCCAGGAAAATAAGTAGAAAAGATAATCAGAACGTGGGATTTAACTTCTCGTAGCTATGTAAATCTAGAGTCCTGATGGTTTTAAGTTTCTTAGTGAATAGTTTCTATTTTAAGAAACAGTCTTTACTTCAAGAAATAAAATCCTTGATATAGTGATCACCAAGAACTTTTTGAAGCCAACAGGAAGTTTTAAATTTTCATACCACACGTATATAAAAACATAGATGTGTATACTCTTGAAAAAGTGACATCCTATGTACATTAATCATTTTATTTCCTCAGGGGTCAATACAGTGTAGTGTGACTCCTCTGTTTTTCCATCTTACATTCAGAACACAAGGACATACATTTACATATATTTTACTTAACAGATACTCTACTCTATACAGTGTACAGTAAAAATGCACACAGTGAAAGAAACTGTCTACTGAAGGATGCATATGTTCATGGATAGCAACAGCTACAAAATTATAAAAAAATAAGGTCATCTGATCAAAGTCAAGTTATGACTCCCATTTATTACTAGCATACCCATCCCCCTACCCTACCTCAACCCTACCCTACCCCAACACCTCACCATCATGGTTTAATTTTGGAAAAGAATTTCAGACACTTTTTAACCCTTTTGTGTAACTATTAACTAAATTGAAGCATTAAAAAAGAAAAAAAAGCTAGTGACTAACTTTCTCCATGAATCTTCCATTATTCTCATCTAAACATTTATCAAGGTGTTTGCTGGTTTAAACTTTTTATTAGGGGTTGACTTTTGGTGACCGAAAAGAATATCTCAATAATGGGTAAGTAGGGCCTAGTAATAAAAAGGCAGAAGAAAGTGGAATTGAAAAAGGGGCAATGGGTAAAAACCTTTTATATCCTGAGAATGTTAAAAAAGAAAAACAGAACACAAACCAACTGAACCAATACTCACTAATTTCAAAGTAAAGAATCAGCAGCAACAGAAGTGCAGGAAAGTTGATATAATGACAATAAAATTACCATAGAGCTAGCTTCCATTACCTTATAGCATTTAAGAACACAGAGTTTGTATGGTTTACACTAAAGTAGTACTTACTTCTACAGATAAGCCTCCTCCCACCCCAAATTTAGATTTAATACAAATTGGGCTCCTCCTCAGTAAAAAAAAAAAAAAAAGAAAAGAAAATAAATTTACTTTTCTTCCAAGACAACTCTTGAAAGCAGAAGGGTATTTCAATTACAAATGTCTCCTACTGTCTGACGACCCATCCATAATAGCTAAGAGTTAAGAGATTCCAGGCAATTTTGACATTTAAAGAAATTTTATCAGATTATAATCCAAAATAAAATTTCTGAACACCCTGTCATTTACATCATAATCCAACACCAGTAGCAACAAAGACAGGCGGTGTGGAAAAATAAGGCTCTAGAGATTATCCATGTCATCCTGTGGATCTTCACAACTGTGTAAAAGTACTAGGCCTTTGGTGCTATAATATTATGAACAGTTATGAGATGTGTTTAAATAGCAAACTTGCTGTCCTTAAATCTATTGTGTTGAAAGAAAAATAAAAAAAATTTTTTGGCTCATTGACGTCTTTAAATAACTTTAAAAGTTGTTCTTCTAAACAAATATTCCTAAAAAATTATACAGCTCGCTTCAGATTTCATCTTCGCCATGAACGAGACTCATATTCATCTTCATCTTCATCATCATCATCAGGCAAAAACAAATCTGAGGTTTCTGTTTCCTAAAGAAAGAGAGGGTAGAATCTGCTTAGTGGCACAAGAAGTCAAATAAAATACTTTTTTAAGGCAAAGGACAAATAGACTAAATATAAAAGCTGGATTTAAAAGTATCTTTCAGAGAAAAAAAAACAAACAAAAAACCACAAACAAAACACACATATACAAAAAAAAATTTTTTTTTTTACATGTACTGGGGGTAGTAAAAGTAGGTTTACTGTTGTTCATAAGGAAAATAATTAATAAATTAAAATACAGGTTTTAATTAATATATTAAAATTAATAAAAGTAGGTTAAAGTAAATTTGCTTTTGCTCAACCTATGCATATAATATTCTTTCTGCTAACTTTTCTTAGTCTTAATAGGAAAAGATTTCTATCTAAAGTCATCAAAAAATAAAGTAAATAAATAATATATGAACATTTAGTAGGGAAAATAAAAATACCTAAGAAATGTTATTAATAAAATTAATTTTATTTTATTCAATTAAGTTAAAAATTACACAGTAAATGACCATTCAAACTCCTAAACCTTTCCTTTAATATTAGCTTATTAATGAGGGGAGAATATATAACTTCCCCATGACAATGACATTCAAGATTTTATATAAAAATCTAAAAGTTATCTGCAAATATTCCCCCAAAATATCAAGGTTTTTCTTTAACACAGGGACATGTTTCTACTTTTGTTATTTAAAATTACCCATATGGTTAGAAGCCTCTTGACCAACCATTAATGCTAGATATCTTCTAAATCAAAACTGTGATGGAGCAGGAATAACTTGCAATATTGGATGAGTGTTCATTTTAATAAACTAATTAGAAATATAGTAGTAAAAGAGCAGCATAAATTCTCTTATATTTTAGGAAACTGATTATTTAGTACTTGCATTACTTTAAGTCTTTGACTTTTTTAGCCTTTCCTCTTATGTTTTACTTCCTTACACTGACATTTTAACTAACTATACATAGAAGGAAAGAAACTTCCATCTATTACTTATGGAACTTGAATAAACTAAAAGCTTCAACAATCAGCTAAAACTTAATTTATTCATATAATCCATGTCCTCATTTATCAGAATAAAAATATCTAGAGCCCAAATACCAATAAAAAAAATTCTCTCTTACACCAGAAAATAATCCCCAAAGCTTTTTATATTTATGTATCTTTTGATGCTTTAATAAATTTTAAGACTAGTCTTAGATAACTGCATTCATGCAATAATTCAATATTTATTTCAATGTCAGAAAAAATATATAACTGAGAAACAATCTATTGTAATTCTTCTTTTTTCTTCTTCTTTTTAAACTCTTATTTTCAATCATTAAATTTACCTCCTCCTTGACTTCTTCTTCCTCGGTCTCTGTAGATACAGAAGGCACCTTGGCCTTGTGCCATGATATTTGTAGCCGACGGTCTTTAAATTTTGACCCTTGGTTTGCAGCCTAAAATAGATTTTAGAAAAACACAAACGTGTGTACTCACATTTACTAATGATTCCTTTTAAGTGTGTGCTACTTAAAAAGTGTAATGACTAGGAGAAAAATCTATTAAAGTGGATCTATGAACAATCTCCAATGAGAGCTAGAAAAAATCAAATCCATTTTAACTAGTAGAGAATATATTCTGGTTGTCCAGAATGGTCCATGATTAATTTTTCTGCCCTATAAATAAAATCTGTCTTGGCTGGATTATAAATTATTTAGAAAAGTCATCATAAGGACAAATAAATACTGTTTTACTATCAGGTAGTTGCTAAGAGAGTAGATCTTAAAAATTCTCATCACAAAAAATATCTATGTGAGGGGATGGATGATAACTAAACATATTTTATGTTTTTTATTATTTTTAAAATATTTTATTGATTTTTTACAGAGAGGAAGAATGAGGAATAGAGTTAGAAACATCGATGAGAGAGAATAATTGACCAGCTGCCTCTTGCACACCCCCTACTGGAGATGTGCCCGCAACCAAGGTACATGCCCTTGACCAGGATTGAACCTGGATGCTCTATCCACTGAGCCAAACCAGTTAGGCACGCTTTTATTATTATAGATTATTATTACACACTAGAGGCCTGATGCACAAAGCTTCACGCAAGAATGGACTTTTCTTCCCCTGGCTGCTGGCACCACCTTCGCTCTGGCTGGAACCGCCTTTTAGCTCCAGCCCGAAGCTGCTTTTCTGCTCTGGCCTGGAGCCACCTTTACACCTTCACACACTGCCCAAAGGCCTAGAGTGGCTGAGGTGGTGTAGAACGCCCCAGCCACTGGTGCCTGCGTATGCGGATTAACCCACCATCTTTGTTTGGTTTATTTACATACTCACTCCTGATTGGCTGGTGGGTGATGCAAAGGTACAGTCAATTAGCATGTTACTCTTTTATTAGTATAGATTCTTATATTCACATTTTTTTCTATCTAAAGATATCCAAGAACAGCACCTATATTTTAAGAGTAGGCAGTAATTAAGAGAGAAATTATTTTTATTTTTTATTAGCTATTTATATGCATTAACTTTTAACTGTTTACATGTATTAACTTTTCTATTAAAAATACTTTAAAAGATTTAAAACTGGCCTTTTAAATGTGATATGTCCATTAAAATACCTAATTTTTCTACACACACATATCTGTAAAATAATGAAATACTGGGGGAAAATGAGATATCCATCAATATGAGACTGTCTAAACCTAGTATGGTTCATTTATCCAATTAATTATGATGCAGACATTAAAAAGAATAAAGCAACTATATGCACTAGAATAATCTGTACTCGCAATCTTTTACAATTAAGTGGAAAGTACATATATCTTTGAGAAAATATGTGAAAAATAGGTAACAATAATTGCCTATGGGGAGTGAAACTGAGAGATTGGAGGTAAAAGGAAATCTCATTTCTCATTGTATATACTGTTATTTTTTTATACTTTGTATATGTGTGTTGCCTCCAAAATAAAATAATTTAAATAAAATGTTAATATATGAATGTATGTATAGATATCAGCAAATTGTGTAGCATCAATGAAAAGTTATATGCAATAACTTAAAAGTAGGAAAAGAAAATATGACAGAGTCTGTATGTGGTTCTCAAAAATCTAAAATATTTACTATCTGGTCCCTCCAGAAAAAGTCTGCTGACTCCTGATATATACTATTAAAACGTTTATATATTATTCTACATGTTTTATGTTGTTATATGTACCTTGCATTGTATATTAAATATTTTATATATTTTAAATTTGTGTGTACTTCAATTTACACAGATTTTTATATAGGTGCCTGGGACCTAAAAGCTCAAGATTAACACATATACTCAAATTTGGTTTTAAAATACATCATAAAAATGCTGACGCTTCACCTAAAAATGAACGTGATGTTAAAAGGTCTGATTTAAAAAGTAATATATGTTCATTTGGAAAGCTGGGAAAATAGAGAAGCACGTAGAAAGAAAAAAATAAAAAACTTGAATTTTGCCACCCAGAACTAACAACTTAATGCATTTTCATTTTTTTTTTTGTTATGTTTAATATTGTCGCCAACTATTTTTAACCTTAAAGTCAATCCAGAGAATTTTCTCATGGCACTTTCTTTAAAAACATGTTTTTAATAGCACAGTACTTGTGAGCGTTTAGATTGTTTCCATTTTTTCACTAAAAATAAAGCATGCTTCACTGAGCAAATGTGCAGGTATCATTTGCATACAACCCTAACGATACCCTGGTGATAAGTTCTTAGAAATGGATTAATGGATACAAAAACAAACGGAAGAACTCCAGAATTAGGTCCTCATTCTTCAGAATACCTTTACCAAAACCCATCCATACAGATATGAATCTTCCATGATCATTTCACAATTATTAAGGGCAGTAAAAAATATATTGAAAATATAAATTTTTATGTTAGCCTTTGTGGGATATAAAAGATCTTGAATAAGAGTTACCCTTTAAGCCTGCTAAACCAATATGCACTAATATCTAGGCATATGTATTATTTTCAAAGAAAACAAACTATATACATGCTTCTAGTACTCAAGACTACCTGGTAAGCATTTTACAAAAAACAACAACAACAACAAAAAACAACAAACAACAAAATGCCATCAAAACCAAGGAAGTGTCTCCTTGAAGTTTTCTCATCTGCCTCAGCTTTGTTTGCTCTCTCCACAAATGCTTGATAGTTTCCCTTTGTCAGACTTATTAAATGCATTTGTCTAAAAACTGATTATCATTAGATGATCTAGAATGATTCAACTTATGAGAAGGAAAGAGATCTACTTAAACATCTAGCCCTAGCTGGTTTGGCTCAGTGGATAAGAGCATCAGCCTGCAGACTGAAGGGTTCCAGGTTCAATTCCAGTCAAGGGCACATGTCACAGTTGCAGGTTCGATCCCCAGTAGGGGGCGTGCAGGAGGCAGGCGATCAATGATTCTCTCTCATCATTGTTATCTCTATATCTCTCTCCCTCTCCCTTTTTCTCTGAAATAAATTAAACACACAAAACAACTTAAACATCTACATATTACCTCCAGTGACCCTCAGGACAGAGAATACAGCTTCCTACAATTACCTACTTTTTATAACTGAACTTTCTACAGAGACAAATTTATAAAAATTCTGCTTTATATCACCCAGTATCACCTCACCAGAGCTGGCATTAGGTCTAAATGCCCAACTTACTTGGCAAGGAGGTTTTAATTTTATATACTCAACATTAAAAAACAAAGATTAACATTTACCCAGGTTCCACAGAATATCTTGCCCATGTATAGTGTTCAAATATTATCTTCTTTATTTCTCAAAGAAATGCTAGTCTCCCACTTTAAAAACAAAGAAAATAAGGGGCAGACTAGCTCAAGAATAAATAGGCCAGAGCCCAAAGGTTCTAAAATCTGGACACTGTATAATAACCCAAAATTTTCTAATAGTGAGGATAAAACAGGATTATGGCCCCAAACTAATAAGAAACTTTGGAATGAAGTCTTGCTTGTTAAGATTTCCCTCAACATCTTTAGCACTTAATAAGGCTAAAAATGTTTTCTCTTAAAGAAGTTGCCTAAATAATAGGGATCCTGATGCTAACAATTAGGCATTTCTACCTTGATTTTATTATTTATTAACTGTTTATTCTTGGTTAACTTACTGTTTTAAGTTTTAGTTTTCCCATCTGTACATATGTGACTTCACATGAACTTTAGTTATTTAAATGAGATCATATGTGAAATGCTTTAGCACAAATAACAATATTTACCAAATGAATTAATGAGTTGTTGGAAGGAGAATATACTTCTTGTAATATAGAAACCCACACCTAAAACCTTTATGTTCATGTTGAACAATGTCAACCCAATAAATTTAATAAAAAGAGAGAATATATTGTTTATGTGCAAAATAATAGTCATTTATCTGTATCAAACTTCTATTTGCATGTTTTGTTGAAAAATAAATGGGTGCATGTGTATACAAAACATAACTAAATATGTCTCTTATCCTAATAAATTCTTCCTTTGAATTTTAATTCCATCCCAGATTATTCACTTATTAACTATCAATACCTAGTAAACCATGCAATAACTGCAAAATAAAAATCAAAGATAGCTTTGGAACAACTTATCACTACAAATGCATTTATGAGGAGTATTATGGAATTACAGAACATGAGTTTCTTCTTGACCTTCAAATATATTAATAAAATTTTGCTAATACCCATGTTTTTACAACTTCTTTTCTAATGTATAAAACATTTGGCATTTATACAGAATGCAGCCGGGAAATGCTGAATACAGTGTTTTTAGAGTTAGTTTTTGCTACTTTAAAAACTTACTGAGAAATGCTGAAGTAAATCATCTTTTTCCTCTTCAATGAGTCCCCCAACTGACAGTGCTTTGGGCCGGTGGTCCACCACCATGTGATTTAGTGAGCCCCTTCCTCTTCCTCCACGACCTCGGCCTCTTCCTCGACCTTGGGAGGACATGGTCTTTCCACGACCCACTGGTAAGATACCTAATCGTGCAGCCTGAATAACCACCACCAAAGGCAAAGTAAAATACACACTGTTAGATTAAACCTTAGAAAACAGAAAAAGAGAAAACTATTTTTTTGAAATGTTAAATTTTAGTGAGTCAGTAATATCTCTTAGGTCTCACCTCAACCTGTAACTGACTGAGTTTTTTCCGTAATTCTGTTGTGTCTTCTCCTGAAGACAGCCTCTTGTGAAGGTCCAATTCAGTATCTAATAGTTCTTTTTGGGCCTTTGGAAAAATTAAGAGTATTAGTGTATTTTTTAGATTACTTCCAAGATCTTATTCAGAGTATTAAACTTACAGAATGACACACATCTCTTTTGGAAAAATGACAGTGAGAGGGTGTTTTAGAAGTAATGCACATGGGTGTTTTAGAGGAAGTAATTTTATTGATACAGTACTGACAATAGGTGCAGAGCATAGTGATATCAGTAAAAACAATAAAGATTATTACTGCTTAAGATGGCCTAAAACTCAGATTTTGGAAAGTCAACTGAGATGAGAATAATTTTCACCTAATAAAATACAATGGGCAAATTATATAGTAAAACTTCATTCATAGTATGCTGGAAGCCAGTTCCAGCATGTCTTAACTGCAAGTGTTTCATCAAAAGGTTGATGGAACCTCAACCAGTTTGGCTCAGTGGACAGAGCATCGGCCTGCGGACTGAAAGGTCCCAGGTTTGATTCCTGTCAAGGGCATGTACCGTGAGTGCGAGCACATCCCCAGTAGGGGGTGTGCAGGAGACAGCTAATCGATGTTTCTCTCTCATCGATGTTTCTAACCCTTCATCCCTCTCTCTTCCTCTATTAAAAAAAAAAAAAAAGGTTGATGGAACTTGGGGACTCAACATATGTTGAGTCACGTATGTTATCACCTGTTGGGAATGGCTAAAAGCATTTCCCCAAACCTGAAAAGGATGATTGTTTGCTACCTGACAGCTCAGGGCTTCTTAATCTACATGTTATTGCCTCCTGTTGGCCAAACACCTAAACAGCCAAGGCAATTCCCCATTCTGACAATGGACTCTGTAGAGTCAATTCAAAACCATATCCTTTGAAGTGCATATCTACCTTGCCTTAGGACACTTTATGTTAATAAAAAGCAAGGGGTCCTAAGATAAGGAGTCCTGAGATAAGGAGAACTTGGTTTCTTCAGCCAGGCTCCTCTGACCCCAATGCCTTTCAAAATTATCTTTCCTCTTTGGACTCATTTAATCTATGTACGGCCCATCTCCAGATTGCTGAATTCTTCTAGATGCCAGATCAAGACCACTGGCATTAAATGACGCCCAACGTCCGGCATTAATAGTACAAACACAACAGTTACACAACTGCTTTCAGATATGAACCCTATAACTATTGCCACCCTTTTTTGGGGGAGAAGGAGGGAGTATGAGACAAATAATCAATCTTCAGGGTAAGCGACTGTGAGAAATTATTTTTCTCCTATATATATTCTCTTTAATTTTCAAAATGTGCCTGTGTTCTTTCTATAACTGGGAAATTTTCAATAAAAACATTTTTATATTTTTTTAAAAAGGAATCTTAGTAAAACACTTTACATTCGTACTAGAGGCCTGGTGCACGAAATTCGTGCATGGGGGCGAGACCTGCACCATTTCCAATCTGGGACCCCTAGAAGGATGCCTGACTGCAGGCAGTTGGATATCCCTCTCAAAATCTAGGACTGCTGGCTCCCAACCACTCGCTTGTCTGCCTGCCAGATTGTTCCTAACTGCTTCTGCCTGCCAGCCTGATCACCCCTAACCACTCCCCTGCCAGCCTGATTGATGCCTACCTGCTCCCCTGCCAGCCCGATTGCCCCAACTGCCCTCCCCTGCTGGACTGGTTGCACCTAACTGTCATCCCCTGCAGGTCTGGTCACCCCCAACTGTACTCCCCTTCTGGCCTGATCATCCCTAACTGCCATCCCTTGCCAGCCTGGTCACCCCCAACTGCCTTCCCTGCTGGCCATCTGTGGTGGCCATCTTGTGTTCACATGGGATGGCCATTTGGAGTGTTGGAGTGACAGTCAATTTGCATATTACCCTTTTATTAGCTAGCATAATACAAAACCATAGTTTCAAATGTAACATAATATTGAATTTAAAAACTTGTGTTATATATATATATATATATATATATATATATATATATATATATATCTGACAAATTTATTCCCTATCTAATTTATTCATTCATCTACTAATGGGCACTTAGGCTGTTTCCAAATCTTGTCTATTGTAAATAATGCTGCAATCAACACAGGGATGCATATATTCTTTCAAATTAGTGTTTTGCTTTCTTTGGATATATTCCTAGAGTAGAAATGCTGGGTCATATGGCATTTCCAGTTTTAATATTTTGAGGTAACTCCATACTTTCTTTTGACTGGATCATATAAGCAATTTACATTTAATTGTTGATAGGTATGTATTTTATTGCCATTTTATTCTTTTAACTATGTTCCTCTTTTTCTTTCTTCCTTTCTTCTTAAAAAAAACAAACAAAATAAAACAAAACAAGAAATTAACAAAATTAGACTTCAATGGATCTAGTGCTTCTTCCAATTATTCTTTCCTATAGAATGCCACATTTTTGCCCATACTAAAGCAAATGATTATTAAGAGAAATGGTTTCATTACAACTATTATAAATTATTAAAAAATTGCTGAAATAGGAAGTAACCTCTTTGTTCGCCACCACTTTAGTAGTTTCATGTTCAGCAGAGAGAACCAAACATTTCAATTAAAAAAAATACACCTTTATTTATCTCTTTCAAAGACAGTATATATAGCATCTATAGAAATATTTTTAAACTTGTTACTACAATTGTCTCCCTTTTAAATTATTAGCCACCTAAAGGTTGAACTGTACTTTCAAAGTACTAAACATGTAACAGATATTCAATAACCCTATGTTGAATAAAAAATGCAAATAGCCCAGTTAATGTGGCTCAGTGGTTGAGCACTGACATATGAACCAGGAGGTCACAGTTAGATTCCCGGTCAGAGCACATGCCCGGGTTACAGGCTCGGTCCCCAGTGGGGAGTGTGCAGGAGACAGCTGATCAAATGATTCTCTCTCATCATTGATGTTTCTATCTCTCGCTCCCTCTCCCTCTCTCTGCAACCAATTAAAAATATATTTTTTTTAAAGTGCAAATATAAAATTACAGCGGGGAGGGTAGGGAGATTGGGGAAGATGAGAGATCAACCGAAGGACTTGTATACATGCATATAAGTACAACCAATGGACACAAAACTCTGGGGAGGGAGGGCATGTATGGGAAGGGGGAGCAATGGTATATGTACACAAATAATTTAATTTAAAAAAAAATTTAATAAATAAATAAATAAATAAAAGTGCAAATATACCTCTGTTTTGGTCTTTACTTTCGATGGTGTGGAGACTGCAGAAGATGTTTTTAATTCATCTTTCAGTTGTGAGATCTTTTCACCAAGCTCTTTCAAAGTCTTCATTACATTTGCTCTCTCTTCTGGTTTCATGTTTTTGTTTTTTTCTAGCTTGGATATTAGCATCTACAAAACAAACAGGAAAAAGGAAAACTCTGCTTAATAAAGTGTATATAAAAATAACTTTAAAATATTTACCATTAGAAATATCTTTATAAAATCCATTTTACACATCAATTCCAATAGGCAAATAATGAGCTGTTATCTTACCTTCTGGCATTCTATCTGTTTTTCTAATACTTCTTGCCTTTTTTTCCTCATATCTTGTTGTAGCTTCATTGCTTCCTATATGAATAGGTAAAGAAAAAATTTAATAATAGATAACAAAATTTGCCAATGATCCATAAGGCTACTTCATTCTCAATTTGTTTCTTCTGGGCCACCCCTATAATAAGATAAATTTCCTACTGGTCAAAAAATGGCTAAAAACTGCCGAAACCGGTTTGGCTCAGTGGTAGAGCGTCGGTCTGTGGACTGAAAGGTCCCAGGTTAGATTCCGGTCAAGGGCATGTACCTTGGTTGCAGGTACATCCCCGGTGGGGGGTGTGCAAGAGGCAGCTGGTTGATGTTTCTCTCTCATCGACGTTTTTAGCTCTCTGTCCCTCTCCCTTCCTCTCTGTAAAAAAAAATCAATAAAATATATATTTTTTAAAAATGGCTGAAAACCAGAGAGAAAACCTTCAAATATATTGTCCCAACATTTTCAATATAAAAAAACTTTGCATTTATAACTGTACTTTAAAAAATGTCTAAAATACTGAACATTAATTAGCTGTATCGATGATGTTCATTCATTTGAATGACCTAAATGTAACAGGAAAATTAAGAAGTGTTTTCATTTGTCAGTGTAATAAGCCAAATCCTTATTTTTGAAGTTTAAAAATGTGAGATGAGCTACAGATTAGAAACAGCAGCAAAATATAATGTTTTTTTGCCAGGAAAATGTTGCATCCACACCTGTTAATTAAATATCAAATTATGCTGAGTAATATATATAAATATTTTATTTGAAAAACTGTTTAAATCTAAGATGATTTGAAATTCAGATTGAATCATCTGAATAACTACGTAGTTATATGTGAAACATTATCTAACTTGAAAAGCCAGAAAGAACAATAAATAAATAATGAAATAAAATGTCTGCTTCTAGCCCTTGGAGAATGAAAAAATATTAGTTTGGTGTTGTTTACTTTTGCACAGAAAAAGTCTTTCCTTGTGCTTGATGTAGCCACCAAAAGGCAATTGCAAAACATTTTCTCTGTTTGTTAACCTTTAGTTCAAGTGTATACTGCACCCAGCAGCAGCTAAATAAACATGATCATGGAGTTCCATAACAATATCAACAACCAAAGGTGTTAACACAATCACTTAAGAATTCAGTGGGACCTTTCCTCTTTAACAAAAGAAGAATCAAAGCTGTTACCTGCTTCTTTTTAAGAACTTCTTGAACATCGTGAGATTTAGATCCTGAACAAAGTTTTGAAGGGGTCTTTAAGTTTGAGGAGCTATAAACCGTTTTTGGATGGCCTGGAGGTGAAAATACCTGTGAAACATAAATGATTAAATTAGATCTTAGAAAGGACTCTGAGTCTTTTTTATAAAGACTGAGTGTATTTCTTTTTTGGGAGAGTTAAATTTTATATTTTACATTAAAAAATGACATTTGTAAAACTAGTTCTTCACTCCTAAATTTAACTGGCACTCAAATAAAACACACACGCACACACACACACACACACACACACACACACACACAAAAATTGAAGTTTAGCAATTATGTTGTGCTTCTGAATGCAATCACCTTTTTTTCTCTATTTTATCAATAAATAGAGATAAAGAACTGCAAGCCCTAATATCTAGGAGCTGGCCTGCCACTCACAACTAGGTCCTCCCTATTAAACATAAACAGTTTCACAGACAGCATATCAGCCTCAGATATGGCCACTCTTGTGGTCATGATGGATTATGACAATAACAAGATCACCCCATAATGTTATCCAATCCATTAAAATGACTAACCATCTCTTTCTATCCTGGGGAAAAGAAATGACTACAGCTTCTTTACCAATTGTATCCCACATTTTAATCTTCCTTCTTTCTAGCTAGACTTATTAAAACACTAAAGGCCCAGTGCATGAAAATTCATGCACTGGAGCGGGTGTGTGTGTGTGTGTCAGCCCAGCCTGTCTCCTCTCGCATTCTGGGAGCCCTCAAGGACGGGAGGTGATCTGGTGATCAGGGAAAGGCGATGCCCCCCCCTCTGCTGCTGTCACTGCCGGCAGCCTTGGCCAGACCTGATTACCTGAGCCTTGGGTGGCCCTGCAAGGCTGGGCAGCCACCATCCGAGACTTGCCGTGCCTCAGGCCGGCCCTAGGCACCTGGGGCCTGAGGGTGGGTCCAACAGCATGGCACACCTGCCACACTTCCCTCCCAAGGGGGCTGAAAGGACTAGGGGACTCTGGCAGGGCTAAGGGGACTGGGCACTGCCATCTTGTGGCTATGGACACTGCCATCTTTGTGATGGCATTATGGTCAATTTGTATATTCCCTCTTTATTAGATAGTATCTAATCATAGAATTACTCCTGTTTTCTTAAATCCTACTCTAAATAATCTAACACTTTCAGGAGGGCTGTACCATTTAGCATTTCTATCAGCATCTAAATCTCAGATCCTTTTGGAAATTATCCTCATTTACTATGTAATTTTTTAAATGAATCTAAATCTGTTTTCTATATAGCTTTCCAGTCAGCCCTACACCACTCTCATAAAGTCCATATTTCCCCCACTGATCTGAGATACTGTGTTGGCAAACAAATTCCTATTTGCAAGTGAGCCTATTTTTCGATCTTCTATTCTGTTCCACTGGACTGTCTCTCCATGTGCCAAAATCAAATTATGTTATTTATATAAACTTCAAAGCATTTTTTAATGTCTAGAAGAGCTAGCCCCTTTTGTTATTTTTCATAGATTTCCTAGCTCTCTTTGAAATAATAACTATGCTGGAGAGACAATGTTTATAGATATATTCCTAAAAGCAAAAGGAACTACTTAAAATAAATTTTAATGTTCAACTTTTAATTATAACAGAATCTCCTTCACTATGCTCTTCATATTAAAGAGAAAAATTATAAAAGATATGAACTAATAAAGATACCTACCTACTAATAACTGTCTAAAATTATCAAATTCCTATTTAGCTTTGAATAGAAAAAATTTTTTGACTAGTAAATTTCTAGCTAAATCATGGAAATTAGGAAAGTATATCCACCACATTTATGTTAGCTGTCACACTTATCTAAGAAAAACAAGACAATACAAATCTGATGGTAATCAATTTGTTAATTTCCTTGTTCTGAACAACTCTGAACATACTTGAGGCTCACAGAAACACACACCTGGCAATCATCTCCAGCACCACCTGACTGATTTAACAAATGTGCCGCATCACTCTGGTTAGCACTTGCATGTCCAAGACGATGTTTCACAGGAACTTTGTTAAGAACATATGCACCCGGTGTCTGTGGTTTGCTCATCATCTATATATACAAAATAAACACATATGTATAAGTTTTTTAAATGCTCAGGAATGTTAATATTCTCTTCAATATGTAATGCTTTGACAGACTTAAGCATTTTAATTGACAGTAGCTTACTATAAATAATAGTGTGTTAGGATCACTCCCAAAGCATAATACAGTATTAGACTGCAGTAACATAATATGGTCTAATGATCACAGAGGTGAAGATATCACTCTTTTATATACCATTCAGCCAACATCTAGGGAAAGAATTCACCTTTGGACCTAGCATGAAGTGGCACCTAGTCAAAAGAAATGCAGACAGGTGCAAATAAGCAGGATGATGAATAAAGATAAGACTATGTAAGGAATACTTTAAAAAAGTATCCTATAAGGAGATTATAATTATCATCAATATCTAAATGACTCTAATGCATGGTGGTTTGTTCTTTCCTTCATCTACTCATTCAAATGTATTTTGAGCAATATATGCCAGGCCTTGTTTTAGGCACTAGGCATAGAATTAATATAACAGACAAAATCCCATTCTCTTGCAGCTTTCCTTTCGGTTTTAAAAGGAACAGAATTTCTCTACATGGAAGAAAGTAAGACAAAAGGACAGGTACAAGGATGACTTACTCTAACCCCAAAACTCAGTTCTAGGTTCAGAATTGTTCAGTGATGGACAGTTATTATACTTTAGTATTGAGAAAAACCACTCAGGGTATTGCTTCAACATTAAGGTTCATGGGCCCTATAGGTTTGGAAAGAAAAGGCCCAGGAATTTATACCCAGATAAGTGATTTTAATGTAGAACAGGAGAGGAGCACTTCCCAAACCTTAGTGTATAAAAGAATTACCTGGAGAACTTGTTATAGATATACTAGAGGTCTGGTGCATGGATTCATGCACTGTGGGGTCCCTCGGCCTGGCCTGTGGGGATTGGGCCAAACCAGCTCTCCAACATCCTCTGAGGTGTCCCAGGTTGGGAGAGGGCGGCTCTCAGGTGACGCACCCCAGAATCGGGTTCCCTCCTATCTTCTCCAAATATTATGTCACTTTCTGTATCTGTCTAGCTTCTTTCATCTCACTTTACCCTAAGTTTGTTGGTAACTGACAACCTATGGGCATTTAGCTGCAATATGCAATTATTTAGCCAACTATTAAGGATTTACTTAGCCTGGAATCTAGTCAGCCTCGAGCAGGACCTTACTCAATGTCAGGCTCCTGCCCAGGCCCTTCCACCCAGTGGAGTTCCATGGCAACGAGAACCTCTTTCTTTCCAACTGAGCTGATCCTTTGCCTCCTTCCCTCCCCGGAGGAAGTTCAATGGCACTACTGTCCACCTGGAAGGAGGGAAGCCACAGCCAGTTTCCCAGCTATAAGTGGTAACAGAAAAGTTCACTGCCTCCACTGGAAATCGATATTAAGTGGATGGGCCAGCACAGCGCCAGACATTAGGGCCATAGCCGGTAGGTCCTGCACTCTTATCATTTAGCTAAGTCAGAAAGTTTCTGTAAGGGCCAGACCGATGACCTCTCCAATGGGCTAGAGGCCTGGTGCATGGATTTGTGTACTAAAGGGGTCCCTCAGCCTGGCCTATGGGGATTGGGCTGAAACCAGCTCTCCGATATCCCCCGAGGGGTCCCGGATTTCGAGAGAGTGGTTCTTGGGTGACACACCCCAGAATTGGGCTCCCTCCTCTCTGGTTCACCCAAGAACCCCAGCTGCTAAGTCACTGCAGCTCCTGCATTGAGTGTCTGGCCCCTGGTGGTCAGTGTGCGTTATAGGTACCGGTTGGTCAGTCGAACAGTAGGACTGTTGCTTAGGCTTCTATATATATATTCAAAAAAAAAAAAAAAAAATATATATATATATATATATATATATATATATATATATATATAGATTCCTAAACACAGATTCTTGGGCCCCACACAGTGATTCTGATTCAACAGTTGTGGGGAGGCCAAAGAAATTGCTTCCAGAAGAACAGATGCTGATCCAGAGATCAACTTGTGTGGCTCTGGTATATAAGACCAAACGACTGCAAACTGAGGAACACTGATCTATAGGAAGGGACTAGAGGACCTCTAATTCCATGTTAACCAGTAGATTACCTTCTGGATACTTCCATGTACCGTTGCAGTAGAAGATTGCTGATGAAGGTGCTGTGGCAGATGATGGTGCTGTTGTGACATGTGACTAAGTGTTTGCTGTTGTTGTAGGAGCAGCTGTGCTGGAGACTGTAATGCTGGTTGCTCATTGTTTTCTCTATGCCACAGGACTCGAATGAATCGGTTGTTTAGAACAGCTTCAGTGCTAGAAATGGCTTTCCTGGCCTCCTCATTGGTAAGATATTGGATAAGGGCTGCTTCTGGATCTCCCTTAAAAGCAACCTGTAAGAAACAACAAAATCAACAACAAAAACAGATATTAACAAATAGTTAAATGCAAATAAATTGATAAATAATTCAGAAGTAGAAAACAGCCTGCTGAAATCCACTGTGAATCCTTTGTAAAATAAAGTTCTCTAGCCCCTGGTGATATGCCTATTTCAAAATTATATACAAAAGAACGTTAGACCCAATAAATAATCCTACTGTTACCTAATCATTGAAGAGCTATTAGATTCCTCCATGATATCTCACATTCAAACTAACTCCAGAGATACAATAACAAACAAAATAACCGTATAAAGACCCAGAAGAAAAAAGGTAACTGTATAATCTCAAGGTCTGAAAAGCCCCTGTATACATCCCTATAAAGACAAATAGCAGACAATGTAAAATTTAAAAACTGTCAGTCCAAACAAGCCATAAACAAAATAAATAACGAATAGAAAAACTATTTTTAATATAGATGACAAGCAAAAGCTTAGAAAAGCACTACTATAAATGCTTTTGTATAAAAAATGGACAAAGACCAAGGAGTAAATATAAAAGAACTGTAAAATGGTCTATAAAAATTAGTCTACTATCAGGGGTCCTCAAACTTTTTAAAGTGGGGGCCAGATCACGGTCCCTCAGAGAGCTGGAGGGCCGGACTATATGAACTACTAATTCCTACTGTAACACCTCGGCTGCGCTCACTGCCTGGCGGGCCGGATCAGACTCCTCTGCGGGCTGCATGTGGCCCACGGGCCGTAGTTTGAAGACGCCTGGTACGTAGTAATAAAGCAAATTATAACAAATAATTTTGCACTTAAATTCATTACAAAAATCTAATGAATCTATATTACAGTGCTCATGAGGATTTAGACACTAAATTTGGGAGTATCAATTGGCACAACACTTTTGGAGAACAATTTGATAATTCAAATAAAAGGTCTTAAAATTCCCTTTAATTCAGCAATGCATCATAAAAAATAATGCAAGATTTATCCACAAGAAGGCTCACCACAGCATGGTTTTCATATAGAATAAAAAAAATAAATTCCCAACAAGAAGTTATACAGAATTAAACTGTGCCCTCCCCATGCCCAAATTCATATGTTGAAACCTTAACTTCCAATGAGACTATTCAGAAATAAGCTTTAAGGATAGGCTTTTCAGAGGTAAGTGAGGTCATAAAGGTGGGGCACTAATCAAAGGAATTAAGTGGGTAGGCACCACTTCTGCTCTCAGGGGTAAAACCTGCTTAAAAATCTCCCTCTCTAAAAAAAAAAAGTAGTAGTTTGGCTCAATTCTTTGAAATGCCAAATCCCCCAATACAACCTTCTTGTTTTTAATCGTCACCTCATGGTGTGTTTTTATTGATTTTTAGAGAGAAAAATATCAATGTGAGAGATAAGCATTGATCAGACAAACATATACGCCCTGACCAGTAATAGAACCTGCAACCTAGATATGTGCCCTGACTGGAAAACTGGACCCAGTGTATGGAGTGACACTGTAAGCAACCGAGCCACTTGGTCAGAGCTACCTTCGTGAACTCAGTTATATAAATTACTAGTGGCCCAGTGCATGAAATTCGTGCACATTATTGCTATTTGTCCTTTCTCTATAATAGAAGTATCAAAGATGAAAGAAAATTAGTAAAATGTATATAAAAATATTCCTTCAGTCAGAGTCTGGGGCGTGCCATAGGACCCAGAGTCAAATCCCCACCCACCTGTGAGGTGTCTTAAAATCGCACAAGACCCAGACCCAGCTGGCCCAACCCCCATTGGGCAAGATCCATACCTGGCTGGCCCCACCCTTGTCAACCCCTGCAGGGCAGGCGGGGATGGGGGGGTTGCACACACAGCTTCAAGTCCCCATCAAGCCCTGCACCCGGGGAGAATGCATAGCCTCAGGACCCCTGTCAAACCCTGCCCGGGCAGCCTCAGGTCCCCCGGCCCGGCACCAGAGTGGGGAACGGGGCCTGAAGTCCCCTATCAAGCCCCACGGGGGAGAGGGTGCAGCTTCAGGTTACCTGGCCCAGGGTTAGGGGAGCAGCTGAGGTCCCCCGGCTCAGCACCAGGGCAGGGGCCATACCTTGAGGTCCCCCATCAAGCCCTGCTGGGTGGGAACTGCAGCTGTCCCCTGACAAGCCACACTTGGGCGGGGTGGAGGGGGGGGGGCATGGAGTGGTGCAGTCTCAGGTCCCCGCTGATTGCTCATTAAAGCTCATTACAGGAACTCAGCCTCTACTATGGGTGCAGCCACCTTGTGCTACAGAAACTCCACCTTCGCTGTGGGCACAGCCATCTTGTTACAGAAAACCCACCGCCGCTATGGGCACCACCATCTTTGTGACAGCATGACAGTCAATTTGCATATTTTCTCTTTATTAGATAGGCTATTTTTATTTGGTGGTAACACTAAGTATCATGGGTAAATGACTGAAATTCCAACTTAAACAAGCCTCTAAGTACCCTCAATTACAGCGTAACACCAACCACAAATTCATAAATTCAAATATTCACTAAGGAGACAGCAAAATACAAAAGCTACAATTTGATGTTAGAAAATATGTCGCACTGCTTAAAATTCTCAAGATTAGAACCAGCCTTAACCAATAACTAATTTACCACAATATAAAAGTGAGTCAGTGGACAAAATGACCATAGTAGAAATTACCAAGAATCTCACCTACCTAGTTAGAATACTAAAGCAGGCAATCAAGTCATCTGTTTAGAGATAAAACTATAAAAATACAGTAACTAACTCGGTGTCTCTCAGGAAGAGGTTGCAGAGAAGAACCAAATCAATTAAAAAAAAAATTCAGCTTAATTCCATCATTAAGTTGGACATACAGATAGGTAGTGTTAGCAAAGATGATCACACTAATCACTGGCTCATTTAAATAAGGTGAGTTGATAGTAATATTTTCAAAAATGCATTGAATACATGGATTCTGTCATGAACATAGCCACATTTACCTGGATGTTAACAATAGTTCCAAATTTGCTGAAGTGTTCATTGAGCTTGGTAATGTTGTTTAACTCCTGAGGAATTTTCTTGACTTCTAACTTGGTATTTGTATACTGATTCTTTCTTAAGAATCCTGGTTTACTCTGATTGTTATTCCCTTGTCTGAAAGAAAAAAAATGCCATAAAGAATAATGACTTAGGAAATCTTGATTAACTAATAAATCTTGGTAAATTCTCTCTACCTTATGCCTCGCCAAAAATATATAAAAGGTTACAAAGAATGTAAGGTTACGTTTTTTGAAACTGTCTTTTGTAAGCACTAAACACTCTTCATAAAGTACAAAATAATTTTCACATTAATTAAGTGGGATTAGAATAGGCAGAGAGAAAGAAGACTGAAAGGCCAAAATAAAAAATTTTTAAAAAGGCCCAACTAAGTTTAAAAGTAATGCTAAAAAGATCCACCACAACTATCAAGGAATCTAACATTAAAGCAAGAAAAGAATATATTTTTTACAGTGCATTTTTTAACTTCTGCAAAAGTACAGATTTTTTTTCCTTTTTACTTATTTCCAGAGTCTCAATTCTTAATATTGGGTTAGGCCTAGAAATAAGTAGTACAAATTACCAATATATATTATAAATATTTTGTTAACTTTTCCATTTTTAAGACATTCTAAGGATGCCTTGGGGAACCCTAACTTTGACACATAGTTTGATAATCATTGATTAAAAATAATTCTTAATTATACAAATTTACTAATGCAAGCGAAAATAATAAAAACACCAATTCAATGCTACTATCATTAATTAGCAAATTATCTTACTTTCCAAGCCAAGGCTTCTTTGTGAGTGGCCCTTCCAGGCCACCCACAGCTCTTTTTCGGCTATCTGGTTCAAGAACTACTCTGGTTATGTTGCTATTAATTGAAACAGGAACTGGTGGTTCAGTCTGGATGACAATGTTAGCAGCTGTTGGAAACAAAAATTAATATTACTGACATTGCATTATATTTGGGGAAACTCAAAATGATTAAAAGTTAAAAAGCACCGTGAACAGCACCCAACTAGTACCACTTCCTTTTCAGAAACACCCAAGCACAAGAAAACCTTATCAATCGCCTTGCCTTCTTTTCCTTGTTTTAAAAAAATAATATAATACCTAAGTTTAAAAATAGGCAACCCCAATGTAGCAAATGATTCAGGCAAAATTCATTAATGAACGCATACAAAAAAATCAGTGGAAGATTGTTGGAAAACACGATATTTATCTAGTGCCAAAGTATCACTCCATGAATTATTTACTTTACAATGAAGAGATTGAACAGTGATCAAACTTAGCACCATAAGTACAGTAAAATTATTTGTCTTCTGATGTAATTAAGCAAGAAATTCACCTGGATAGGATATTATTATGGAATTGTGATTTTCTTGTGTGCAGTAATAATACTGTGCTTATATAGGACTATGTCTTATTCTTAGACACAAAATAGTTTAACCTGTAGTAATAATACTGTTATTAGTGACAGTAAAGAAAAGTTAAAATCAGGATAGGAAAATGCTCACCATATAATTAAAGCATAAAAATATTGTCAGGTTGGCCCATAGCCAGTGATTAAAATTAAAATTAAATATTGAAAATCTAACTATAACAAAAAAATTAAATCTCATCAAATTCTTCATCCAAACTTTTTTCTTTTTTAAGAGAAGGGGAAAGAAAGGTATCAACCAATACTGAAGGTAAATGCTTGCACTTAATCTTTTAAGGTTTATGACTATACTTTGTTAAGGTCCTAACATATGCTTGTATAATCTTAAACACTAAAAATGGTCAAGTAATTTAAGATTTTATGTTGTCAATCATTACAGCTCTCAATGATACAAAATAGGCTCTTAAATGATCAGTTCTTCGAGGGCAAGGCACCATGTCATTTCACATTTCTACTAGAGATCCGATGCATGAAATTTGTGCATGGGTAGGGTTCCTAGGCCTGGCCAGCAATCAAGGCCAATCTGTGGGGCAACTGGAGGGGTGACGGGGGTGGGGGACCGCTGGCAACCGCCTTGGCTGGCCTGGGGCCTGCGGGCTGGGGGCAGCTCCTGCATTGAGCATCTGCTCCCTGGTGGTCAGTACATATCATAGTGACCCATCGTTCCTCCAGTCCTTCCACTGTTCTATCAATTTGCTTATTAGGCTTTTATTATATAGGATGCCTATAACTAGAACAATGTCCAGTATTCAGTTAAACAGACTCAAGTCCTACAAAAAAGCTATTAAATTCCATTAGTATTATTTTTATTTAAAAATACTTTCTGATTATAGCTTTAAAATAAATTTTGGAGATAAAAGTTATTCAACCGAAACCGGTTTGGCTCAGTGGTAGAGCGTTGGTCTGCGGACTGAAGGGTCCCAGGTTCGATTCTGGTCAAGGGCATGTACCTTGGTTGAGGGCACATCCCCAGTAGGGGGTGTGCAGGAGGCAGCTGGTCGATGTTTCTCTCTCATCGACGTTTCTAACTCTCTATCCCCCTCTCTTCCTCTCTGTAAAAAATCAGTAAAATATATTATTAAAAAAAAAGAAGTTATTCAAATAAATTTATTTGAGGTGACTGTATAGGACCCTTCAGAGATAGTATTTAAATACTTTTAGATTTCAGTGAGGGAAGAAATGCTATATCCAACTCCTGCATAACACTTAGCATCAGAAAGCATTCAAGGTGCTCTCACCTCTTGGATTTGCATCCATATCTCCAGATGTTAGGCCAATCAGGTTTGGGCGCTGTGTCTGTGTTCTTGAAAAGAACTGTCTGTACTGAGATCTACCAGAACTGGTAATACTAGGAGCTTCTGGGTTATAACCATCTGGTTCATATGTATCTGAGGAAAAATAAAACAACAAAACACACAACAAATCAGAGAGCATTTAAATAATCTCCTTTACTATAAAATAACTGCCAAAAATAAATTTTCTTCAATGAATATGTCAATCCATATATATTTCTCTTTGAATTACAGTATATAGACACAACTATTAGAAGGGAAAGAAATAAAAGTGCTTTGCCACAAAAGCGCTTCATCACAAAACAGACACACAAATCTGTTCTTTTACAAAAATTTTTGAAAAACTGTTTTTATTGATTTTGAGAGAGAAGAAGGGAAAGTGATAGTGAGGTAGAAACATTGGAGAAACATCATCAATCAGCTGCCTCTTGCATACCCCCTACTGGGGACTGAGCCCGCAACCCGGGCATGTGACTTCACCAAGAATTGAACCAGTGAGACACACCAACTGGGCTCATTCTTAATTACTGATATATTTCCAGATTCATTTAACTAGTAATTTTTATCCTATATATTAACCACCTTATTCAAACTTCAATGCACATTTTTAAGAGAAATTTTCACATATATGGAACACCATATATAAAAGACTATATGAGTTTCCTCTGTTACTATGTCTCACCAATTTCTAGGTACTCTTTTAATTAGCAGGGGGGGGAAACAGATTAGATTATCTGCACTTTAAACTAGCGAGAGATAATAGCTGGCTTCATACATAATGCAAATTTCAAATGTTTTATTTCAAAAAGCTAATAAATAAGCTAAATTTTATATTTATCAATGTAAGCATTATCTTACTACCACCCACCCCATCAATGACACTTTTATCATGTCCTTTTTGTTTTCTCTACAACTAAAATATTAATTTTTAAAATTCTTATGCTAAATAACTCTTTTGTTGGTATTAATACTGTGTTGGTTTCCAAATGATATATATATCCTCTTCATCCTACATGAAATGAAAGGACTGAGTGAAGATGGTGATTTTTGCAATTGTGATTTAGAAGTCCTTGTGTCTCTTTTTTTATTTTCCTTAACAAAAGTATTCTTTATGTCATTCATATTAAATTTCAGCTACAAGATCTTGACTGACCAATCAGTTCTATGATTCAGAGCATAAGATCATCAAATTAAGATAAAAATAATTTTCAGTGCCCTCGCTGGTTTGGCTCAGTGGATAGAGCATCAGCCTATGGACTGAAGGGTCCCAGCTTCGATTTCCAGTCAGGGCACGTGCCTGGGTTGTGGGCTCGATCCCCAGTAGGGGGTGTGCAGGAGTCAGCCGATCCATGATTCTCTCTCACCATTGATGTTTCTATCTCTCTCCCTCTCTGAAATCAATAAAAATATTTTTTTAAAAAGAAATTTAAAAAAAAGTTTTCAGTTACCACTTAGTTCTCTTAACAGAACATTTATAGGTAAGGCTGCATAAAGTTTTAAAGAAAGTACATAATCAAATGACCTTGTTCTATAATTCCTGGAAATACACAAAATTCAAGAAACTTAAGAGTCCTTTATAATGAAATAAATAAAGACAAGGTGAGAAATTAAAAACTTCATGAGACACCCACAAAGCATTCCATAAGTCTTCAAAATATACATGAAATAGGAGAAAGGTTTTCAAAAAATTACTACATTATACAGCAAGTCCATACAACAAGGTGGGGGGGGGGGTGGACCGGTGTGGGGAGGGGGAGAACAGGTTTGCCCACAATCATCAAGAAACCAAATGTTTTTGTTTTGTTTTAAAGAAAAATTAACCTAGTTTTCCTTGTAATGTATAACTGACTTAGAAAAGATACAAATATATATTCTCTTCCTATCTATCAGATTACGAACTAGTTTAAGGAACAAGCATGACTTTTGTTACCGAAGCAATGAAAGTAAATACAGAAGACAACAGAGATGACAGACACACAGGAGGCCTAATCATCTTGCAGCCACTAGGGACAAACCAAAGAACAGGGGGAAAAAACAACAAAAAAACAACACAAAACTACCTAAAAGTTTTAATGGGAATTTGTGACAGCAGATCAGATGCCAGGTCATCTCACAAACCGGCTAGCTTATGGTACAAAAGAGCAGACAGGTGGATGGCCATCTGTAGCAAAGCTTACCTGGGACCAGAGGGGTGGGGCTGGAGACTGAGGTATGGTACCCAATGGAAGATCCCATGAGGTTTCGAGGTGGCACCAAACGAGCTGCCAACAGAGGAGGTGGTGTCCCCAACTGAAGTCGCTCAGATGCAGCAGCACCATGTTCACGAGAGTACATGGGCTGTCCTATAGAGGAAAGAATAGGAGGGCAACTGGATTCGAGTCACAAGCTTCTCTTAGGTAATGATGTACTTCGCGAGACTCAAGCCAAGAACAGAGAAATACACCAACAAAAATAGTATTCGAGAAAGAGGTTACTGAGATTCTTTCTAACTCAAGAAACAGACATGCAAACTGGTTAGGATGCATTGAGGTATAAAGAAAAGGTAAGAATTAGGTAGTATAAGGGCATAATCTTCATCTTTTATAAACTTAAGTAGAATAACTATGTGCTAATTTTACCCAAAACTGATCAAGCATATCAAGTTATTAGACAAAGAAACCCTGAGCTATTATGCACATAGTTTTGTATCCAATGAGACATGTGGTTATAAAAGCTGTCACATTCATTAAAAAACAAAAACAAATACACTCCTCCTCAAACTCACATAATTTCAGGTTGGCACAAGATATACTCCCATTATCATGGAGCAGGGAAAAAAACACCACAATAATAAAAGAACTTAAAAATATGTAAAAAAATAAATAAATAAATAAAAAGAAAGAAAGGAAACACACCACCACAGGCATAACCTAGCAGAGAATAAGAAATGTTCAAAAGAAAAAATTAAGGTAGTGCAAATTTGTGATCCCATGAGCAGGTGGATAACAAATATAGAGTAAGGAAAAAAAGGACAAACCCCCAGATAAATAGACAAGCCACTACATATGAAATTATCTCAATATTAAGAACCACTTTATGAAAGAAGCACATTTAGAATATATATATATATATATACACACACATATATATATATATATATATATATATATATGCAAGAATTTCAGACACAGTGAAACCAAATTTTGTAGAACAAGATGAAAAAAGACAAGGTATTGAGGAATAAAACCTCCCTTTGGTTGGTCATTTAATAGTATCTTTTTCACAGACTGTCACATATAAGACATATTTCTAAGACTTATTAATTTATATCTAAAGTCAGGCACTCACTATGTGACATAAGACAAAGTGAATTTAAAATCTTTTAAAACACCTGATGAAATGACCTTAAAATTTGTAAAATTCCAGAAGATTTTTAATAAACCTTAATAGGACAAGCCACCAAGCAACCACTTGATTTCATAGTAAATGCAGAAGAGAAATGGATGTGCTAAACTTTATTAGTACCTTTTCTTCCCATGTTTGGAACAAAAGAGGAAGTGACACAAATATACTGTATAACTGACTACACATTGTGTGCTCAGCCCCACTCCCTTTAAAATTTACATTAGAAATGGATCAGCTAGAAGGGATCAATGGGGAAAAAAAGGGGACATATGCAATACTTTCAATAATAAACTTTTTTTTAAAAAAGAAAAGGGTTGATCTATCACAATTCAACATATCCTAAATGATCTAAAAATAGTTGAGAAGAACCTACTGCAGACAATTTTTTGAAGAATGAAGTAGTGTGCTAAAGAGAAAAAAACAAGAAGAGTAAAAAACGAAGTACAAATCTCAGTCATGTGATTAGTTCAGATTTATGATACAGCATTCAATGTAAAAAGCAGTTTTAATTAGTAACTACCTTAAAGTAAATTGGAAACTAAAAGGCTAGTTTGCAGAATGTCTTTTTTTTTTTTTTTAATGACAAGGAACATGTGCTCAAACGCTTCAGAAAGACAGCTATTTATTCAGATGAAACCTAATTTTCTTCAACACATTTTGAAGTCTCTAACTACTATTTCAAAAATAAACAGGTCTTTTAATAAAAGGCTGATTCTAGGTCTGAGCAGACAATTTATAAGATGAGCCTGGTGGTGCACCTTGGTATACCTTATCCTTAGAGAAGTAAGTTGGCTATAAAACACTAGCACGTCAAAAAAACAACCTAACCTGCAGGAGCCACTGGTCAAAGATGAAATTTGGACATTGAAAAGGGCTGTAAGGAGTGAAACAAAGCAAATGCTAAAAATCCATGAGCTCATTATGATATTTTAGAAAATACAGTGGTCCCCTTTGGAAGATACTAGGAAACCAATTCATTATTCTAAAACTGGTAAATGAAATCTAACAAGCATTTATCCCATCTTTCCTATAAAAATTACATTTCAGGTGAATAAAATAACTAAAACAGCCAAGTTTTACTTTGTAGAATGCTAGCCAATAAATGTATAAGAAATTATAAAATTACTAGAGGCATGATGCATGAAATTCATGCACGGGGGAGGGGGGATGACCCTCAGCCCAGCCTGCACCCTTCCAATCTGGGATCTCTCTCTCAATCCAGGACCATTGGCTCCTAACTGCTCGCCTGCCTGCCTTCCTGATTGCCCCTAACCATTCCTGCCTGCTATCCTGAGCACCCACTAACCACTCCCCTGCCAGCCTGATTGATGCCTAACTGCTACCCTGCCAGCCTGATTGCCCCTAACTGACCTATTTACCCCGCAGGCCTGGTCACCCCTAACTGCCCTCCCCTGCAGATCTGGTCCCTCCCAACTGCTCTCCCCTGCTGGCCTGGTCACCCCTAACTGTCTTCCCCTGCAGGCCTAATCGCCCCCAACTGCCTTCCCTTGCAGCCTGGTCCCTCCCAACTACCCTTCCCTGCTAGCCTGATCACCCCCAACTACCCTCCCCTGTCGGCCATCTTTGGCCACATGGGGGTAGCCACCTTGTGTGTTGTAGTGATGGTCAATTTGCATACTACCACTTTATTATATAGGATGTTATATAGGAGAATATGACACTTTTACAACCCCTAAAGAAACAACAGATCTAAGCAATAATCACAATGGTCGCCAAAACCATGAGCAACTGTTAAAATGGATGCATCAGGATGAAAACACTCATTCACAATGATGAATATCTATAACCAGAAAGAAGACAACGTGGTATTATGAATACAATGATGTACTGCAGTAGGAAGTATAACCCCTTCAAAAAAATATTCATGTCCCAAAAAGAAAAAGCCAAACCTAATTAAGTCTCTAGATCTAACCTCCAATTTTCAAGAAATAGAGGGGATAAAGGAATGTTTTAAATGATACCAAGAGATGCAGTGGGCCAAGTCCAGATGTAAAACAAAATTCTGCAGGACAAATGATTTGTTTCTTCAACAAATAAATATGGAGGTGGGTGGGGAATACTGGGAAATTTGTTACAGTTTTAAGGACTTAAGAAACATATCACCTATATATAATGTGTAACCTTGTTTGAATCCAACTTCAAATTCATCAGCTGTAAAAGGACATTTTAATACAGCTAAGAAGTATGAAGACTGACTGGCATGTTTGACAAAGGATAACTGTTATAAAATTTTTAGGGAGTGTGATAAAGTATTATGATAGTGTGTGTTTAATCCTTATCTTTTAGAGAAAATTAAATTTTTACGGATGAAATGTTATGTTTGGGGCTTATTCCATAAAATCAAGTCGGGGTGAATTATAGATTAAACAAGATTAAATACATGTTGATAAACAATGAAGCTGGTAAATGAGGACATGAAGACTACTATATAATATTTGTTCTCTTGTGCATAATTGAAATTTTTCCATAATAAAAAGTTTTTAGCCCTGACCGGTTTGGTTCAGTGGATAGAGGGTCAGCCTGCAGATTGAGGGGTCCCAGATTCAATTCCAGGCAAGGGCATGTACCGTAGTTATGGGCACATCCCCAGAAGGGGCTGTGCAGGAGGCAGCTGATCGATGTTTCTTTTTCATCGATGTTTCTAACTTTCTATCCCTCTCCCTTGCTCTCTGTAAAAAATCAATAAAATATACCTTTTAAAAAGTTTTTAAAAAATCAAATAGGTTACAATAATGGTGAAGATGAGTCATTCACAATTTATATGCATTCAATTTGATTTTTAATCAGTGCACAGTATGATTGGATAATTTCAAACTTCAAACATGCCAAGTTCACCTTTCTATCTTAAATTGTTTATATCTTACATGCCTGATAGCAACATTTTCACATTATTATTAACTTTACTGAGTTGATAGTCTTTATTCAAATTCAAATTTTAGCTATTCTTTGAAGTTTTCTTGATTTTCTCTTTTGGAGTATTCACAGGGGGAAAAAGTCCCAAGATAAGGTTTTTGGTTTTTTCCCCCATATATTTTTCATTGATTTAAGAAAGAAAGGGAGAGGAAGAGATAGAAGCATCAACGATGAGAAAGAATGACTGATTGTCTGCCTCCTGCACGCCTCCTACTGGGGATCAAGTCTGCAACCAGGATATGTGCCCTGACAGGAAATCGAACTGTAACCTCCTGGTTCATAGGTCAAAACACAACCACTGAGCCACTGTGGCTGAGCCCAAGATAAGTTTCAAACTAAAGCCTAACTAAAAAAATATATAAAGCTATACCTTCCAATTATTGGCCATATTTATCATGTGTTTTCTCTATTAGCAAATCCACGGTTCCTGGCACACCTTCTGAAGCTCCAGGGCTTACACCATGTCTGGTGAGTAGGAGCTCAGTAAAGAGTCATTTAAAGAGATGAAAGCTTATTTATTAAAAGTATCCCAATGACAATTATTGCTTTGGATGAGAATCTCTATGTTGAAATGGGCAAAATGACAACTAATGCAACACAAATTCAAATAAGACACAAGGGGAGAAAAACTCTAGACAACACACAATGATTCTGGTGCAGACTGCACCTCTCTAACCATCAAAATCCAGGATTCTGCACAGAGAAATAAGATACCACTCACAGAATTAAAGAAGAAATCTTGTGTTTAGGAATATAGTGTTTGAATAATTTTACATTGTTGATAATAGGAAATTTATTTTCAGAAAGATAGTCTATGTAAATTCATTTGAAGATGAACAATTGCCTTTTAGCTTAAGAATCAGTCTCTGAAATCCAGGATGTTATATTCTATACGAGAAGCCCAGTACACAGATTCATGCACTGGTGGGGCCCCTCGGCCTGGCCTGCAGGGACTGGGCCAAAACCAGCTCTCCAACACCCCGTGAGGGGTCCCAGATTGCAAGAGGGTGGTTCTTGGGTGACATACCCCGGAATCTGACCCCCTCTTCAATGGTTCCAAGTGTGTCATCTGAGAACCACAGCTTCCAAGTTACGGCAGCTCAGCAGCTCCTACGCTGAGTCTGCCATTTGGTGGTCAGTACATGTCATAGCTACTGGTCAGAGTGTATGCACCCTGGTGGTCATTGCGTGTCATAGCTACCAGCCAATCAGCCAGCTGTTTAGTCTTTTATATATATATATATATATATATATATAGAGAGAGAGAGAGAGAGAGAGAGAGAGAGAGAGAGAGGCCCAGTGCATGACATTTGTGCACTTTGGGGGTCCCTCAGCCTAGCCTGCATGCTCACAGTCCAGGAGCTCTTGGAGGATCCCCAACTGATGGCTTAGGCCCACTCTGCTCTAGGCCATCAGTTGGACATCCTTTGCGCTGCCACAGAAGTGGGGGAGGCTCCCACCATCACCACTGTGCTTGCCAGCCATGAGCCCGACTTCTAGCTACTCCTGTACTGAGTGCCCTCTGGTGGTCAGTGTGCATCACAGCAACTGGTCATTCTGCCAATCGATTTGCATATTAACCTTTTATTATATAGGATAGAGGCCCAGGGCATGAATTCATGAACGGGTGGGGTCCTTTGGAGTAGCCTGTGGGGGTAGGGCCAAAACCCATAGTCCAACACCACCTGCAGCTCCTACATGTCACTTCCGCTTATCCGGTCTCCACTGCATCTGCCATGGGCTCACACCCAATCAGTCCTGATTGGGAGAGGTTTACACCGCCACAACACTCACCATCTGTGAGCCCTGCATCTGGCGCCCTCCCAAGTGGAATGGACTGTGGGATTGGGCCAAAACCGGCTCTCCAACATCCCCCAAGGGGTTCCGGATTGTAAGAGGGCACAGGTCAGGCCGAGGGACTCCACTGGTGCATGATCAGGGCCAGGGAGGGCTCCAGGGCATGTCCAGCCCATCTTGCTTAGTCTCAATCTGCCGGACCACAGCAGCAAGCTAACCTACTGGTTGGAGCGTCTGCCCCCTGGTGGTCAGTGCATGTCACAGCGAGTAGTTGAGTGGTCTTAGCATATCATTAGCATATTACACTTTGATTGGTTTAACAGTTGACCAGTCACCAGGTGACTGGACATTTAACATATTAGGCTTTTATTATATTGGATAGATAGATAACTTTTCCACATACCTAGTTCAAGGAGCTTAGTTAGCAGTTATAAAAACTAAAGGCCCGAGCCGAAACCGGTTTGGCTCAATGGATAGAGCGTCGGCTTGGGGACTGAAGGGCCCCGGGTTCGATTCCGGTCAAAGGCTTGGTTGAGGGCATATCCCTAATAGGGGGTGTGTAAGAGGCAGCAGATTGATGACTGTCTCTCATCAATGTTTCTAACTCTGTATCTCTCTCCCTTCCTCTCTGTACAAAATCAATAAAATATATTAAAAACAAACAAACAAACAAAAAAAAACAACTAAAGGCCCGATAAATGAAATTAGTGCAAGAATAAGCCTTCCTTCCCCCAGCTGCTGGCACCGGCTTCCCTCTGGCACCCGGGACCTGGGCTTTCCTCACAGCCCTGGCTTCATCTGGAAGGATGTCTGGTATAATTAGCATATTATGCTTTCATTATTATAGATTATAGATTCTACTCTGTCTTCTTCGAAGAAGGGCGGGAAAAACAGACCAAATTTAGGATAGTAAAGAATTAATTTAAAAGTAATCCTGTGAAAACCAAAATAATAGATACTAAGTTTTGATGACTTCAAATTTGGGTAAAATGTTTAAATACTTCAGAGGACATAGTTGATTTTTTAAAATATGTTTTTAAAATGTTTTTATCAATTTCTAGAGAGGGGGAGGGAGTGGGAGAAAAAAACATCCATAGGCTGCCTCCTGCAGGCCTCCTACTGGGGATCAAGCTCAGAACCAGGGCATGAGCCTTGACCTCGAACTGAACCAGTGACCTTTCAGTGCATGGGACGATGCTCAGCAAACCGAGCCATACTGGCCAGAGCAATAGTTGATTTCAATAGGTGTATGAATTGCTGTCTTTCCAGACAATTCCAATAATATAGCATTTCTCATTAAGTCCTTTTCAGAGTATCTGACACTTTACAAAAACAAAATTACAAAGGTTTTTTTCTAAAGTGGAACCATCTGACATTAACATATCCTACCTCATTTTACGGTGGGTTAATTTATTTTCTTTTAACATTTGATTTTCCTCTTTCAAAACAACTGATAATTACAGACTACATGAAGGTTCCATTTTTGGCAGAATTAGTGCCTTTGTCACTTGTGTTTCTGAATCATCCTGTTCCTTTAGTTTTAATACACTGTAAATGGTTTTGAGTTTTGTTGTTTTTACTTATTTCTTTCCATTATATTTTTTGCTTCCTAAAAGAAAAATCGTTTCTTTCTTTTTTTTAAAAAAAAAAATATATACTTCTATTGATTTCAGAGAGGAAAAGAGAGAGAAAGAGAGGTAGAAACATCAATGATGAGCAAGAACCATTTATTGGCTGCCTCGTATATACCCCATTCTGGGGATCAAGCCCACAACCCAGGTATGTATCCTGACCGGAATTGAACCTTATCGTCTTGGTTTATTGGTCAATGCTCAACCACTGAGCCACGCAGACCAGGCAAATCATTTATTAATCAATATATTCTCAGTATGTAGCTAGCATTAAGCATAGTCCTATTTTTACCTCAAAAAAGTCCAGATTTTATTTTTCTGTTTACTTTGGGTCCCTATTGACATAATTTTCACAACTACAATAAATACTGTTTGTTACGCTGTTTTTCATTTATACTATTTTCTCTGCTGTGACTTTTCATGTCAATTTTTATGATAATAAAATATCCATAATTTAAACTTTCTCAATTTGCTAAGCTTTGAGCATAGTTCAAGTTCTTTATTACAATGCAAACATACATATATACCTTTTTACTACATTTGAACTGAAGCAAACTAATTTTTTGAAATTATTGATTACAGTATTTATAAAAATAAACTTGAATTAATTCACAAAGGCAATTTTATTAAAAGACAAAAATGATTTTTAAATCAACTGAATAGAAAGACATTTAAAAAGTATGACTGAAAAGTAATATTACACTAAAAAAATTTTTTTGTTTTGTTAATCCTCACCTGAGGATATTTTTTCCATTGCTTTTCAGAGTGAAAAGGAGAGAGGGGAGGGGGAGGAAGAGAGAAAGAGAAACATTGATGTAAGAGACAGATCAACTGGTTGCTTCCCATACACAAATTAAAATCCAGCTATATAATATACCCACATAGTAAACTACCCTGAAAATACAAATACAATTTTATATAGCACAATCCATAAAAATATAAATTAACTGAATTTTAAAAAGTATAACACTGATATGAAAAAAAAAATTGGCTTCTATTTACTGAGCAATTTTAAATCAAACAATTTTTACTTACGTTCTGATACTGTATAAAGGAGGTTCTGGGGTAAAGGAGGAGGTAGTCTTGCTCCCACTGGTGCAAGATTGGGCACTGCACTTGACCCAGGCTGGTCACGGTTATTTATTAAGCTTGACTGTGTTATGGGTGGTCCTATGGATAGCAAAAAGTAAAAATCACAGCATTAATATTTCCTAACTAATAAAAATACTCACTATAGCCCTAGCTGGTCTGGCTCAGTAAAAGAGCGTCAGCCTGCGAACTGAAGGGTCCCAGATTCGACTCTGGTCAAAGGCACATGCCTGGGTTGTGGGCTTGATCCCAGTGTAGGGGTGTCGAACTCAATCAGAGAAGGGGCCAAAATCTAAAATCCAGCCTAAATTGCGGGCCGAATGGTTTACTGAACAGTCATAAACTGTCATTGTGATGGAAACGCAGCGGAGTGCAGTGATGACAGCGCGGTGCGGGCCACATTGCAAGGCCTGGCGGGACGGATTTGGCCCGCGGGCCTTGTGTTTGACACATGTGCAGTAAGGGGTGTGCAGGAGACAGCCGATCAATGATTCCCTCTAATCATTGATGTTTCTCTCTCTGTCTCTCTCTCTCACCTCTCCCTTCCTCTCTGATACCAATAAAAAGATAGGAAGGAAGGAAGGAAGGAAGGAAGGAAGGAAGGAAGGAAGGAAGGAAGGAAGGAAGGAAGGAAGGAAATCAGCTGCCTCTTGCATGCCCTCTATTGGGGACTGAGCCTGTGCCTTGATTGGGAATCAAATCATGGCCTCCTGGTTCATAGGTTAATGTTCAACCACTGAGCCACACCAGCCAGGCAGTATATAGTTCTTTCAACTTTTCTGTTTCCTTAAATTTGTTCTAGCACAATATTGGGGGGAAATGACAGTCTTGGATTTAACTTTTAAAAAGTTCAGGGAGATAACTTTTGAGAATTTCTAAACATAAAGATGCTATCTTACCTGGGAATAGCATCAAGTTGAACTATACAAGTATACCATTTATGTGACAATAAATATTCACAAATGCTGAATTAAAAGGACCATATTACTTTTTGTTTTTAAATCTTCATTATTGAAAGTATTGCATCTGTCCCTCCCTCCCACTCCCACATATCCCTTCTAGCCCACCGCCACCCGACCCAGGCCTTCACCACACTATTGTCTGTGGGCATAGGTAATGCATAGAGGCATACAAGTTCTTTTGTTGATCTGTTCCACCCACCCACCCACCCACCCCTACCTTCCCTCTCCATATTTTTATTGACCAAATCTATGCATTAAATGTTTCAAAACCTTTAGCAATTTTAATGAAATATGTTCTATAAAGAACATAGCTGCAGAAAAACTAGGTGAGGGATATACAGAATCATGCTAAAGTATTTTTGCAACTTCTATTATAATTTCAAAAATACAAGGTAGCCCTGGCCAGTGTGGCTCAGTTAGTTGGAGCATCGTCCCATACAAAAAAAAAAAAAAAAAAAAAAAGGGTTATGGGTTCAATATCTGGTCATGGGAGAGGCAACTGATCTCTCTCTCTCTCTCCCCTCCCCCTTCCTTCCTCCCTCCTTCACTCCCTCCCTTCCTCCTTCTCTCTCTAAAATCTAATAAAAGCATGTCCTCAGGTAAGAATTATAAATAAAAAGAAAATTTTAAAAACTACCACTTAAATTGAATGGCAATCATTTATCAAAAAATAATAATTTTGCAATCTGCTAGCAATGTTAAATGTCATCAAGTATATATTTTCTTATACACTTGCATACATGTAAACTACTCCATTATCTTTTCAATTATACTAGAAAAGTTAAGTCTTATTTCTGTTTCTAATAAATTAGCAATTGCTAAGATTTTTTAGATGATCATTCTCAAACATTTCTTAATATTAATTTTGGTATATGTGATAATAGAACATTATTTGCTTATTAAAAAAAAACAAAACAAAAACAGTCCTTTCAGTGAAGAGATTCATATATACTGGTAAAATGATACTGACATATATACTGACATATATACTGGTAAAATGATATAACACTTGACATTTACTCCAGCAACAACTAAGAAGCCAAAAGAAATGTGGGGGGGAGAGGGGAGATGAAACAAAAAGAGATGAATATTGATAATCCACTGAAATAGGATTAACAGTGCATATGGAACATATATTATTCTACCTCTGTGTATATTTGAAATTTTCCATAATAAAATGTTTTTGAAATTATTTCAAGATTCTTGAAGAAATTTTCTTTAAAGACAAGGAAATTTCATTATACTGACATGTTCTTTTTTTTTATTTATTTTTTTATTTTAAAGAGGAGGAAGAGCGAGAAAAACATCAATGTGAGACAAAAGACATTGACCAGTAGTCTTCCTTACACACCCCAACAAGAGACTAAATCCGGAACCTACATAAGTGCCCTGACCAAAAATGGAACCTGAGATTTTGCAATACATAGGACAACAGTCCAACCAACTAAGCCACACCAGCCAGGGCTATTGGTGTGTTATTTTTTCTGACATCTTCAAAACACTGGCTTTCTTAAGATGCTATCAACTAGCAAGATTTTCACTGCAGATAAATATAGGCCACTACTGATATTTACAGTTAGAGGTGCTACAAATAATGCAATGCAACAATAGATGAAAAAAAGGAAACAGCATTTTAATTATAAGAATATATCCTAAATTCTATAATTCACTTTTCAAAAACTATCTTTTTTTTAAATATATATTTTATTGATTTTTTACAGAGAGGAAGAGAGAGGGATAGAAAGCTAGAAACATCGATGAGAGGGAAACATCAATCAACTGCCTCCTGCACACCCCCCACTGGAGATGTGCCCGCAACCAAGGTACATGCCCCCGATCAGAATTGAACCCGGGACCTTTCAGCCTGCAGGCCGACACCCTATCCACTGAGCCAAACCTGTTTCGGCCAAAACCTTTAAATGCAGTGTCACGTAAGCCGAAAGGGATGGATGTGAAATACAATTCTGCAATAAACAGTCAATGAACATATACTTACTTGGTATGGGAAGCACAACAGAAGGTGGAGGCTGGCCATGTCCTTGGGGAACAGGAAGTCTCATATTGTGGCCAGGACCTGGACCTGGGCCTGGGCCTGGGCCTGGACCAGGGCCAGGACCAGGGCCTGGGCCTGGCATTGGAGGCATTAACATGCCAGGAGGTGGTGGAGGAGGAAGCCCAGGAGGAGGTGGAGGGAAAGGAATCATGCTTGGCAGAGCAACTTCATCAACAACCAGGGGATCATTTCCATGATCAAACTGACAAAGGTCACCAAGTACACAAAATCCTCTTTCTGTAAAAAGAAAAAAAAGAATCTTATGATGATCTACCTAGAATTCAGGAAAAAAAAACAAGTCCCTGAAACACTCATCAATCTGATTTATAAAGTGTTTTTTCTCTAAAGAGTCTAAATTCTTCTTAAGTGTTGTTCTGTTAATCATCCTATATCTCCCAAGGTCAGGGCAGGTGTACTCTGCTTTCTACACGATAACACTATGATTTGTTGAGTCAGCAGATAGAGTCAAGAAAAGGCTACTGGCCACCATTAATGCATTTGCTATGAAATTTTCACAATAAAAATTCGGATTTGTTGTTGCTGTTATTAATCCTTACACGGATATTTTTTCCATTGGTTGTGAGAAAGTATAATTCCTAGTGTTTTTCAAGTTAGTGTTTGAAGTAACAAGAACAACAAAAGACAAAGGGTCAAATTTGAACATCCTGTTAATAAGAGCCAAAACTACTAAATCAAACAAGTAAATAAGCATATGCCAGAAGAGATTCACCTTATTCATCCCTTTTAATAAAATCTGAACTACAATGAAAAGATATACAATATGAGCAACATCTGCTTTACTAGTATTTTTGGGTACAGCATAAAAAGAGAATTTTTACCATCATAATCTCTGCATCGCCTCTTTGGTGGTGGGTTTCGACCAAAAGAATTGGAAGAGCTATGATTGTTATAGTAATTAGACCAACTCTCTGTGGTGTTTTCAGAGTGGTGCGCAGGTGCAATCACAGTAACAGTGCTGGGAATAGACTGGGCCCCAGAGGAATACTGCTCCGAAGAGTTTGGAGGCGGTGCGGACACAGGCACATATGAACTCTCCAAGTCATTCCTTTCACTCTTAAACTTGGATCTTTCCCTGTGCTCTGCTTTAGAAACAAAGTAAAAATAAAAAATAAGATCAGACATTTATTCTTTAAACGCATGGGTACTTTCACTTAAAAATTAGGAAAGGAGAATAATAAAGTAAATTTACTGAGCTATTGTTATTTAAAAGTGTTTTCATTATTACTATACCCTAAAAGCAGGAACATCAACGATGTGACATTATTTTGACCAATAACTTATGTAAAACTATCTTTTATATCATCAATACCAATACATAATAAAGACAGGCCAGCTTCTCTGCTGATATTTAATAAAAATGCTATTCAAGAATTGATTTCCAAAACGACATCCAAGGAAATCAGTGGCTAGGATCCCAATAATATACTTAATTTTTTTTTTTAATTTTATAACCTCTAGGCAACCTTAAAGCAAATCAATTCTTTTTGGAGAGAAGAAGGGGAAGAGGGCAGGGGCCAGCAATCCTTTTCCTCCAGCGATAGCTTTGTTGATTAAAGGACATTTGTTTCAATTATACAAGATGACTTAAATCTAGACATGCACATAACTATTATACATTTATGAATAATGTCTTTTGAGTCACACTCCTTTGACACTAACCCAAGAAAAGAGCCTTATCTTTTTAACAAAATCAATATTAAATTTTTGGAGACAATTACAGATTTTACACTGCACAGACATAACAAAGGTACATTTGCCTTTAAGAGAAGTTCGGGTACTCTCGTGATATAGGAAGATAAGCAACTGTGAAGTCTTTAGGAAGAAGTCTCTACTCACCAACATTCCTATTTGGATCCCGGTCTTTGCTGCGCCCCCTACTTCGGCTTCGACTTCGACTCAGGCCTCGGCTCTTACTCCGGCTTTTACTCCTGCCTCTTCTCCAATCATACTTCTCACGGTACAATTCATTCCGTTCAAAGTACCTATCGTAGTCTCTCCACTTGCCATCTTCTCTTTTCTTCTCACGTGTCCTATAATACACAGATATAAAAGCCATATGTAGATATAGAAACTAAGTATTATGAAATGTCCTCTTTGATGCATCAAAATTCATAATACAAATGCTTTTTAGAAAGCTGTAAGACCACTACAAATTTCTCTAGTCCACTATATAAAAAGAAACTGCATTCCCTCAAGAACACTGGGTGGAGAGAAGTAAAAAAAAGAGGTGAACCCAAAGTATGAGAAGGGGTGGAAGGAAAAAAAAACACAGATATTTAAAACTAGAAAAGAAAAAAGGCTCAAAACAAAGTTTTCCTAAACAAAGACTAATTTTTTGATGGTAGGCTGATGACTCAAAATATAAAATGCACTAATTTTAATATAAAATGCTGTGGATGATTTTAATATTAAGCACCCCTAACCAAATGGAACATTTCATTATTATTCTCTAAGGAGACTGCTCTCACCCCTGAGCTCTTGAGGAAAGCATATAATGATGCTTGTTTATAAAAGGAAGACAAAGACAAAAAAAGAGAATGGAAGGAAGAAAGGTAACTTTTCCTTTAATCAGTTCAGAGAGAGAGAGAGAGAGAGATGGGTCAGTTCATATTTAAAAAATCTCTTTAATGCCATTGTAATGTAATTGAAGTGAGTTATCAATATCCTCCTAATTAAAAATATATACAAACCTTCGTTCACTCGATTCTGAACGAGTCTTCTGGGGACTAGGATATTTCTTTTTTCTGCCATCTCGTTCTTCCTCTGCTGGCTCCTGAAATACCTATATGAAAACACTCATTAGAAACAAGAACAGGCCTACAAAATACAAAACACATCCACCTGATGACAATCTTACTGGCATAAAGAGGGCACAAATAAATAAAGTGGAATACTAAGGTCACATCATACCCAAAAAAGTTCGGAAACAGAAATAAAAAGATGCTGAAATTGCATTACCAGCAATATGTTAATTTTTAAGTGTTAATTTAAGGTAGAAAATAGCAATGTAGAAGGAAAACAAAAATCCATTCTTTAAATTCAAACAGCAGAAATAGCAAATCTCTATTTCTAAGCATTGTATAGTAAAATGATTTGTGTTTTCCTAATTATAATTCATTTAAGGAGAACTTTAGGTATATTTCATAGAAAAGGTTACAGGAACAAAAAGTTAATGAATGCTATAAAAATGGCAGCCACAATATGGCAACCATATGGTACTGGCAAGAACACTGTATAATCATTAGATTAGGTTTAAAAATCATCCTACCAATTCACAGGAAATAAAGATGATATATTATTCCACTGGGATGCAATCAACAAAGTTATACTCTACCAAGTACAAAAGAAAATATCTTCCTATTTCCATTACTTGAAAAAACATACCAAGAGCCTCTTTTAAAGATTTTATGTGACAATTAAAGGGCATAAGCCAAAAATTTAAAAAGCATAGTAATCTCAATGGATCTTAAAGAAGTATTTTATTTTGTTTTCTTTTAATGTTGAATCATCCTAGCATTTAAAAATATATCAGAAATGACAACTAAATGCAATATGTGATCCTTAGAATGATCCTGTACTGAAGAGGAAAAAACACGAGCTATAATAAAAGGACATTGTTGGTCCACTGACAAAACTGGAATACAGACAGTAGATTCCAGTATTTTATTGATGTTAAATTTACTGACACTAATAATGGTACTATAGCTAGTTAAGAAAATACCCTTATTCTTATAAAATATACACTATTATTTAGAGGTCAAGGGTCATCATACACCTGACTTAATCCCAAATATTCAGAAGAAAATAATTCTGAGTCTATATAAAGAAAGTGAGGCAAACTTTCAACAGATGAATCTAGGTAAATGGTATATGGGTGTTTGTGGTACTATACTTATAATTTTCATATGTTTAAAATTATTCTCAAATAAAAATTTCATTAAATAATTATTAATAAAAACAGAAGTTGGAAAACATTTCTGTATAATAACCAACACTTATGTGCCAGGCATTGGACTAGGATGTGTGCACACACATAAAATCTCATTTAATCCTCAAAGAGATAAGTATATACTACTATGATCATCATTTTGCTGATATGCAAATGAGCAGCTAAGTAGCTTTGTTTAAAGCTACTACTACTTTAACTCATGCAGCTTGATTTTAAAACTTATATTCTTATCGTAAAACTGTTATCTACACATAAAAAGAATCACATGTGAACTTTGTAAAATTTCTTCCTTGATTCAATTCAAACCATCTATAATCACGTTTTATATCTCAATATTGTGTAAACATTCCTTTTCTTTCCTATGAATGACATTTACGATTATATTATTTAAAAGTTGTGTGGTTAAAAGAGGGAATATTTTCTCTATTTATGTGAAAATGTATAACCTAATGAGTTCTCTTGAGGTTTCATTAGTAATTTTCCTTTAATTAAGACTCGATATTTAATGAAGTTTCATTTTTCTAAAAATCACTGGATAAGATTTCTCTGAATTCCTCAATATTACTAAAATATTTCTTGGATCTCTAAACAAGCTATCTGAAATTCTTCCAATACTTTAAGTTCGAGGAACTAAGAAGCCCTAAAAAAGACTGCACCATGCCCAAACCCAACAAATTTCTACTACTTCTAAAGAGATCAACTTCCAACTAAGAATAATACTGGTAACGGGGCATAAGATGCCCCCGAAACAAAAGAAAACTGCATTACCTCTTCTTTAATTTCTTCTTTTTCTTGGACTAATGGTTTTGGCTCAGGCTTAACTGGTTCCAAAGGCGGAAGGTAGTTCTTAGTATAGAGGCTTTCAAATAGTTTATCCACAAAACCTGAAGTTTCTAAGGAAGACAAATAATATATGTTATATAAACAGAAACCAAAAATCTTACAACACATTCTATTGTCAAATCTGAGGTAAATGGGACATCTCATATACTGTTGTTGGGACTTAAAATAAGTCTAACCTTTTTTGGGAGAGAATTCTACTTTCTAGGCTTTTATATGTTTGCACATGTAAAAAAAAAAAAGACATATATACAAGATTATTTGAGTACAATATAATAAACGACTGGAAACAATCCGAATCTCTGTGAATAAGAAACTAGTTAAACAAATTATATGGCAGACATACAACAGAATGCAGAACAAATATAAAAAGAATGAGTACTGATAATCAGATCTCAAAGTTACAATAAACATTTATATGTTTATATTTGCATAAAAACTGATGAAAGAACACAAAAAATGTGTACTGGAGGTGGGAAGAGAGCAGATGAACAGGTGAGACTTTTCACAGTATACCTTTATATTGTTGGATTAAATATACTGCCTACTCAAAAATTAAATTTAAAATATTTTATATCAGTTGAAAAAATAAATGGTGGCATGAAAATTATATGAAAGTATCTTTTTGTATTTTACTTAAAGGCAGCTCTACTTGAAACTTTTTCAAGCTGGGAGAACCAAATAAATGTATTAAAAACATAAATGTCAAAGTATTTGTTATTCAAATCAAATTTCTTGAGTCAAATAACTTTCAGGGATCCTATCCTAAGGAAAAAGGGTGTATGAAAAGTACAACAGCCCAGCCGGTGTAGCTCTGTGGTTGAGCATCGACTTATGAACCAGGAGGTTATGGTTCAAATCCTGGTCAGAGCACATGCCTGGGTTGTGGGCTTGATTCCTGGTGAGGTTTTGCAAGAGGCAGCTGATCGATGATTCTCTCTCATTGATGTTTCTCTCTCTCTCTCTCTCTCTCTTCCTCCCTCACCCTTCCTCTTTCTGAAATCCAGAAAAAAAATATATACATATTTTTAAAAGGTACAACACAGCACTGGCCAGTGTAGCTCAGTTGGTTGAGCATTGTTCCGTACACAGAAAGCTTGCCAGTTCAATACATGCCCAGGTTGCAGGCTTGATCCCTCGTAGGGGGTGTTCAGGAGGCAACTGATCTATGTTTCTCTCCCTTTCATTTCCCTTCCTCTCTCTCTAAAAATCGATAAAAATATTAAAAATAAAAGTACAACACAATACCCTGGCCAGATAGCTCAGTTGGTTAGAACGTTATCCTAACATGCCAAGATTGCGGGTTTGATCCCAGGTCAGGGAACATACAAGAATGAACCAATGGAACAGCGTGCGAAATCTCATAGGAAAGGTGGGGGGAGGTAAGCAACCAAAAGCCTGTATGTATATATGTATAACCCATGGACACAAACAATAGAGTGCTGAAGGCCTGGGGAGGGTTGAAGGAGGTTAATGGGGGGAAAAGGGGGATATATGTAATACTTTCAACAATGAAGAATTATTTTAAAAAGAATGAACCAATGAATGCATAAATGTGTGGAACAACAAACTGATGTTTCTCTTTCCCTTCCTCCCTCTCTCTCAAAATCAAGAAATTTTTTAAAAAGTACAACATAAACCCTGCTTACACTGTAATTATTACACATTTTACATAATCAGCTGTTTCTAAAGTATCTAATTAATTTCCCTTCAAAAAGCATCTTTATGCTACTAATTTGTGTGGTAACTATTTTTCTTATTATAAAACTATTATCTCTTGTTAATTGTACACATAATTTTTTAAAGTATATTTTATTGATTTTTTTACAGAGAAGAAAGGAGAGTGGTAGAGAGTTAGAAACTTCGATGAGAAGGAAACATCAACCAGTTGCATCCTGCACACCTCCCACTGGGGATATGCCTGCAACTAAGGTACATGTCCCTGACCGGAATTGAACCTGGAACCTCTCAGTCCGCAGGCCGACGCTCTATACATTGAGCCAAACAGTCAGGGCAATTGTACACATAATTTTAAGAAAATAAATTAATCAAACCTTTCAAAAGCTTTATTTTTATGATCAGTGATTTTCTCTCTGGTTGCAAGTTTATGGCAATTATTTTGCTCTCCTTTTAAAAATGTTCTTTAAAATTCTCCCTCACATGTATTGCTTTTCTAATTTTTTAAAAAGTTACTAAAAATCTTTAAAGCTTTTGCAACAAGGAATTCTTAGATACCTAAAGATATATTCGCCTGTTACCTCTAATGTCTTTGCAATGTTTTACTTATTTTTTCATCGCCCTACATTTTACATGATTTGTCTTTAATGGAAACTGAATAATATAAATTAATATATTTAGAAAAAAAAATACTCATCCTCCCATCTGTACTAGGGAGGAATTACTGTGTTTTAGATTGAGAGGCCACAATCACTATCTTTTCTTTCTCAGTAAATATTTGAGTTAAAGGATGACTTCCCACCACCAACAGCTAGATGAACCAATAACTGTGCGTTATCCACATTCCTGTCCATCTATTCAACAATATTTATTGAATATCTCCTACGTGACAGGTACTGTAGGTTCCAACTCTTTCCTCCACGAAGGAAAAGACAAAACAGGGTTGGGGAGGAGAGACATATATAAACAGGCAAATCAACATACAACGTGACAGGGAATAACAAATGCCATGAAAAAAAAATAACCAAACAAGGTTAGAAAGAGTGTCTAGGGGCATGGGATATACTGTACATTCAGGGGAAACTACTCTAAGACAGCATTTTTTCAAAATATGCAACACCTGACTATTTAGCCAGAGACACTGACCTCTTTTTCCTTAGATTGTCAAATATAAAAATGACAACAGCCAACCCAACTATAGCCGTCTAATGTAATAGGTATCATCAAAATTACACCTATTTTTTTGGTCAGATGAGCAAAAATTTATTTTTGGGTGTGCCACAGAATTTTAGTAGTTTGAGTGCCGTGAGATGAAAAAGGTTGAAAATGGCTGCTTTAAGATGACATTTAAGAAGAGACCAAAAACCAAACGGGAAGAAATCATGTTTCAAGGAAGGGTAAAGAATTCAAAAGCCCTGAATTGGGGATATGTTTGCCATGTTGACAAAAACAGCACATTAGTCGATGTGACTAGAATAAATAGTAAGGGGGACAGGTAGAAAATTAGGTCAGAAAATCAGCAGGGGAAGACTCCAGGAATCTCTGTGGATTATGGAAAATACTTTGGTAAGAAGATGAGAAGTTAAAGGCACAAAGAGAAGAACATGTCACCTCTTCTTGGATATAAAACACCCCTAGCCAAGAGGGAAAAATAAAAAACACAACAGAAAGCTTCATTATCTTAATAAACACTAAGAATAAACAGCTTCAATATCCTTCAAATGTTACCCACCCCCTACCATCAAGTAGGATCTGTCACAAGCAGCAAAGGACTAAAAAAGCATTAGTTACCAGTGCCTCAACATAAGAAAGAAACCGAGAAGGAAAAGAAAGGAAAAAACAGTTCTGCCAAAATACATGATAAATAATTAGGCATGAGTGGATATATTTTCAAGTATAAAAGGACCCTGATTATTTCTTTCCTTTCAAGCTTCTATGTTCAAGGTTTTATCAATAAGTTTTAAACTGAAAATCTTAAATATGTAACAAAAGGTCCATAATAATTACCTTTTTGTAAAAAGACGTCAAGTTGATCAGCACAGAAGGCTTTCAATTCTTTCTCAGGTTTGTCCTTCTTGACCAGTGCAACAACGTAGTTGGCTAAGGCTGAAGGGTCAGCATCACATCTAGTTAGATAAGAAAATATAAAAAAATGTTAAACAATTTTTTCAAATGGGTATCATTAATGAAGTCATCCCTATTTTGAAAAGCTAAAAACTTTAAAGTGACTGCAAACACAGGGGACTATTATAACTCACAGCATACAGGTAGTGCAAGTAAATTTCCTTTTCTGCTTATTTTCATAAAATAGTTTGTCTCCTACTTTCAATGTTCTAATTATACCCAGAATTTTTAACTAAATCTATATTTATTTGCTTTCTCAATGGTAATAAGAAAAAAGTGAAAACTGACCCTTAGCTTCAGCTTGACTCCCAGCCTATAGAAACAGTCAATGTCTTTTGGAACCATCTGTTCCATGGGACCAATGAGGGAGGAGGAGGGAAAGTAACAGAACAATTTCCCCCAGTACCTATAACCCAGGCACCAGCATCCAAAAATGGAGATCAACTCCAGTGTTAATCATCTCAGTGAGTACTTAAGGATCTTTTATTTTTAAAAGTGAGAAATAGCCGAGACCGGTTTAGCTCAATGGATAGAGAGTCGGCTTGGGGACTGAAGGGACCCGGGTTTGATTCCAGTCAAGGGCATGTACCTTGGTTGCGGGCATATCCCCAGTAGGGGGTGTGGAAGACGCAGCTGATCGATGACTCTCTCATCGATGTTTCTAACTCTCTCTCTCTCTCTCCCTTCCTCTCTGTACAAAATCAATAAAATATATTTTTTAAAAGTGAGAATATAAGTTTGGCACCTTAAATATTACTGGCAAACACTTTAGCTGCTATAAACAAGAGAGAACATATCTGGGAGTCAGAACAGAAAGGTTAAGAAAGTGGTGGGGGGGGCAACAGAGATAACCTTTACCTACTTCACTTTTCCCCCTTACTTAGTAGTAACCTGACGTTGACAACCTGAAGTATCTCCGATGCCAGGGCAGCACATGATCCTTGAGTTGCCAACTCCTGACATACAGCAATCTGTCAGACTTAACATTTAATTTACATTACATGAAACTAAAAGTTTTATGTTGCAAATATATGTATTTTTTAATATTCTATTTTCCTCATGAATGTGCACTTAAGTAACACATTATATTGTATGGCTTCATAGGGTTGCTGTAAAGGTAAAATGAAAAAATTCAGAACGACAGTAATGAAAGTCAATATTCAAGCGAAGTGATCATATCCCCATAAAACATTTCTCCAATCAACTAACCTTATTCTACAGTCCTTGGGCTTCCACTGTCAACCAGAAAGTTAGACCCAGCTCAAGAGTTTAAGTCATATTTCCAACAACTTTATGAGATCAACAAAAAAGAAACACTAAGCATGAGCACCTCTATTTCCTTCTAGTCTATGTTTTTAAAGTTCTTAATTCAATAAAATAGAATGTTTTCATTGCCACTATTAACATTTTGTGGGAAAGGCAAGTTTTTAAAACATCTATGCACCTTTATGCACCAAGTTCTAAGAAGTAAATTACAATGATTGTCAATTTTACAAAATTCAGACCTAATAAAAATAAATTATGGACAAGGATCAAAGTGTATTAGAAGAGACTTTCAAAGATGATGAGTTACATATTAATAAAAGTATGAAATTTAAAAGAAAGCTACAATTTTTCTTAAGTAAAAAATATAAATGGCTAAGTTCTAAAAATGGATATACAGCATTTCCACCCTCAAAAAAATGTTACACATACATGCCCATTTTGGCTATTCCATAAATACCTCAAGATAGAGATATGTAGGTAGACTTAATTTCACTCCTGAGAACAGGAAGGTGTTTGATCAGTATAATTCTAATTAACTTTCAAATGGGAAGGGGGAATCACATTTCTATCTTTACTTAGAAAGTTCAGATCCTCGATAAGAAAAATATTCTAAGCACAAAAAGAAAAGGATTTTTAAAAATAAGTAATAAATGGCATAAAGAGGCAATGTTATTTTCTCTAGTGTTATGAGACTCTTTAGACGTAGGGGTGTCGAACTCAATCAGAGAAGGGGCCAAAATCTAAAATCCAGCCTAAATTGCGGGCCGAATGGTTTACTGAACAGTCATAAACTGTCATTGTGATGGAAACGCAGCGGAGTGCAGTGATGACAGCGCGGTGCGGGCCACATTGCAAGGCCTGGCGGGACGGATTTGGCCCGCGGGCCTTGTGTTTGACACATGTATGTGCTTTAGAGAGACTCATAACCTGACAGTATAATGCTGGGTAATAATATTTGGGTTCTAGTGAAAAACAGGCAAAACATTCAGATTACTGGATAAATTAGGTGGGCTAAACATACACAGATGCCTTATATTAGGTCTAGTAATAATTAATGTCGTTTTCTAATACTTTTTAAAATCGAATTTATTTAAACAATACAACAAAATTTAATCAACAATATAGTTGCCGTTGTTTTCTACTACTTGTGCCCAACGCTCAGGAAGCATTTTAATCCCTCTGTTGTAAAATTCTTGTGATTTTGATGCAAAAAATTCGGTCAATGCATTTTTGAGGCATTCTTCATTATTAAATTTTTTTCCAAGAAGAAAGTTTTGCAAAGAACGAAACAAATGGTAATCGGAAGGGGCAATATCAGGAGAATATGCAGGTTGAGGGAGAACTTCCCATTCCAACTGGCGCAGTTTTTCAGCAGTGATTCTTGCAGTATGCGGCCGTGCGTTATCGTGGTGAAGAATTACGCCCTTCCGATTAATCAGCGCGGGTTCTTTTTCTCTTAAAGCTTGGGCTAACCTTTCCAATTGGGCACTATACACTGCACTTGTAATGGTTTGGTTAGATGGTAAAAGTTCATAATGAAGAATTCCTTTAAAATTCCACCAAACACACATCACTTTTTTCGCATGCAAGTCAGGTTTTGGCGTGGGCTGCGTGCGGAGCCTCATTTTTGTCCAACCATTGAGGCCGCCTTTTCAAATTAACATACAGCACCCATTGTTCATCTCCGGTAACAATTTGCTCTAAAAACGGCAAACGGTTTTGACAAGAGAGGAGCGAACTGCAAATTGTGACTCTTTGATTACGGTTGTTGTCGGTCAACTCATGAGGAACCCATTTTCCAAACTTTTGGACTTTGCCAAGTGCACGCAATTGATTGGAAATGGTTTTTTGTGAACAATTTAAAGTTGTCGCAAGCTCTTGTTGGGTAATTTGAGGATTTTGCACCAAAAGAGCTTGAAGAGCTTCTTGATCAAAATTGGACACATGGCCTCGACCACTCTTGTCATCTAACGAAAAATTTCCCTCGCGAAATTTCTCAAACCAACGCTGGCATTTTCTGGCGCTAACTGCATCTTGACCAAGAGCACTACAGATGTTTTTTGCAGCCTCACTGGCTTTTCTTCCTAATTGGAACTCGTAAAGCATGCAGTGCCGAATATGCTCTTCATCCGCCATCTTCTTAGCCCTAGTTTTGCAACAAAAACCAAACCAAACACAAACTTTTTCAAGCAAAACTTGTTAATTGCACTTCACACGTTCTGTAGATACCACGTGTTTGAAGGTTATGTCAATACAAGTCAACGCCAAGCAAGATTTTAAACGAATGTTAAAAACGACATTAATTATTACTAGACCCGATACATATATTTACTATTCAGACTCTGAAAAACAAATGCAGAGTTAGGCCTCTTCTGATAAAATACATTTTGATGTGACAGTGCTAAAACTTGGGATGAATAGTGATGAGAAGGTCAAAGAGCATAAAAAGACAAAACATCAATAAAAGAGAGTGAACACAGATTCTAAATATTTAATCTGAGTGAACTAATTGTTAATGGAGAAAAATTGCCAGTCTGAAATAACAACTGACACCAATTGAATGGAGAAACACATTGGAGAATTTTATGTTGTAATTTTCTGTATTTTTATGTTTCTTCTTATTCATTCACCACCCCTTACCATATACACTTTAAAAACTGACAATATTGTAGTAACTATGGTAGCTTGCTAATAGTAGCCCAACAAGACATCCAAATGAGTGTCATAAAAATCCACATATGGCCGGGACCGGTTTGGCTCAGTGGATAGAGCGTCGGCCTGCGGACTGAAAGGTCCCGGGTTCGATTCTGGGCAGCGGCATGTACCTTGGTTGCGGGCACGTCCCCAGTGGGGGCTGTGCAAGAGGCAGCTGATCGATGATTCTCTCTCATCGATGTTTCTAACTCTCTATCCCTCTCTCTTCCTCTCTGTGAAAAATCAATAAAAAATATATTTTTTTAAAAATCCACATATGTCTAAGATCCTTAATAGATTACAAAACAAATGCAGGGCCACCTCTTATTTCCCTTACCCAAGAAGTAATACCTAGGAAAAGTGAACCGTTCAGCTATTTACTTGTAACCAAAGCTTATAAAAATTCATTTCTGCTTACATGTAGAAACAAGCATATCTTGGAATAAAACAGATATGAAAATTTTGGGTCCATGCCTATGACATACACATTTCTAGACAAAAAGGGGATTCTATTATAACAAAGAGATTTAAAAAGGTAATAATACTGTCTAAATTTGCTATTCTCCTAGAATCTTTAAAAAGCCTGATCAGCATAATCAATTATTCATTTTTCCGATAATTAAATTTGCATATAGACAAATTAAGTGATAGACTAAAGATTAGAAAGACAGAACACCCATAGAATTAAACTCAGCTGCAATTCCACACAAGTAAAATCTTTTTCATAGCACATACACTTTTCATTTTTTAAAAAAATACTTTTTTATTGATTTCAAAGAGGAAGGGAGAGGGAGAGACAGAAACATCAATGATGAGAGAGAATCATTGATTGGCTGCCTCCTGCAAGCCCCACACTGGGGATCAAACCCACAACCCAGACATGTGCCCTTCACCGGAATCCAACCTGGAACTCTTCAGTTTGCAGGCTGACACTCTACCCACCGAGCCAAACTGGAAAGGGCCACTTTTCTAATGTATATCTACATGTTAAATTAATATATCCTAAATCTCAACCGATAGTTCCTTTCAATTAAAAAACAAC